ATTTCTGGGGGGGGGGGGGGGGCATGTGATACTATTTTCAGTTCTAACTCGGTCAAAAGTTAAGATATTGATCTGCGGTTTGCGCCAAAATTCTTAGTTTTTTATGCTCTTTCGAATAAAGTATCACAAGATAGGGGTTGCTATTTGAAGTAAAAAAAGTCTTTTTGACGCAACCAAAAGATGGCCCCCTTTGAGATAGGAACATTCCCAAAGTTTCATTTCCCTGGCTCAATTCGTTCAGAAGTTAGCAGGGGTGGGACGGACTTTTGTTACACCCTATTTGAACCTCCCTCCCTAGAATTTTGACTTTCTCCTAAGTTTCTTCCTCGATCTGAAATCCCGCATTTCAAAACTGAAGAATAATAATCGCTTTTAGGTCAGACAAGTACCGATTTGACCGACAAATCCCATGAAAATGTCCCGTGGAGGCAAGGCCTGACACTACATTGCACTACATACACCACGAAAAAACCCATCGGCCGATTTGAAATTTGGCGGGAACTGTCAGCCTATCAGAGGCAACTTCTGCTTTAGCCTTTGGCCTTTGGTGTGCGTTATTGTTGCCACATAGTGCTAAATAATCAACTTTTTTATTTAAACCATACTAAAAATTAAAAAATATAATTTTTATTGCATAACTGGGCAACATAAAATCGTCACATTATTTTTGTTAAGTGACGTATTTAATGGTCGCCATAACTAAATCTGCCGCCAGCTCTGCTACCATGTTTCCAGAGTAGAGAAGTACAGTACAGAGAACTGGAAATTTTAAGGTTTTTCCTTTTCACCCTTGTGAAATTAGAATTCGAGCCGTCATATTTTCATTTTTACTCGACTGAAATGTTTCTTTCAGTTTTCCGTTCTTATAATATAGCAATAAAGTTTCATCCTTGACTGCTGGTTATTCGTGAGTTTAAACCATGTCCGTAGTGTTCACAATTACTCGGTTTTCTTAGTTTCTACAGCTTTAGCTACAAGCCAGTTCTGAATTTGTACTTAAATTATGGTTGATTTCTATATTTCCCACTTTTATTATGTGCTTCTTGTGTGTTTATCCTCCTTTTTGATAAAGGAAACTCCTCCCCAGAAATGATCGTTACAGGTAATCGGTTTTTGCTTTATTGAATCTTCGATTATTGACAACCATGCGCTCTATTACTTTTATTTTTTGCCAATCCTAGCCTAAGAATGCTTAATCAGTCACGATGAGCGTACTTTATTAAGAGCTATTGGAGAAAAGCTTTCAGCATTAATAGTAGTCCAAGGTTCGGAAGCTTCGAGATTACTTGAACGATCCAAAGACGAGAGAAGAACAAACCTACTCAGGTTCTCAGGATGAAACAACATCCATAGCCATTTAGCAATTTTAGTCATGTGACCTTGTCCAGAGTTTTCACCGAACAAGTTCATCCATATCGATGGAAGATACAGGGTCTGCTTTCTTCATTCTTGTAATCGTGTATAATATTACAATTAAGTCAGATGTGTAATCTAGAATCCTGGTTGTGAATATGACCCGTTAGAGCACCTATCCAGGGGAGTTTTGTCTTTAAGGCGTTTTCTGCGCATTTACCGGTGTAGCTTTGAACACGGAAATGTTACTATCACTGTTATTCAGTTGACCATTTTAATATCAATCGTTTTGTTCTGTGTTATAAAAGACGCACAATTTAATGGAGATATCTATTATAGTATCTACTAAATCGGTCTGTTTGGAGAAACGATCCTAGAACTGAGTGCATGAATGATGCACCTAATGCTGCAGACATTTTAGGAAAGAATGTTTCAAACTTTCTATTCGTATCTCAATGAATGAAGTGGACATGGACAAGCAAGTTAAATTCACTGCATTTGTTAAAAGCGTATGATGTTTATGGGTATGCGTCAAAACCCTTTATATTGACTGGACTGTTCATTCATCATATTCTGATTTGGAGCACACCAAATAAAATTGTGCATTTCTGATAATTACAGTTTAAAAGAGTATCTATCTTATCATGCCGTTAGGGTAACCAGTTACGTAACCCTTCTAAAGGATTGCCAATCTTAATGTTTTGTTACTTTTAGGTTTATTGGATTTATTCTTAGTGTTTGATAATTTAGGTTCATCATTACCTAGAGCTCGCGCATCATATGTTGAGACAAACATCAAAGTATTGTTTACGTCCCCATTCACCAGCGGTGCCACTTGACTTTTGCTGACTACATGTATTAACCTGTTGAGTGGCGCGAATTCAGAACTAATCGGAGATTGACGTTTGTCTCAACATACGATGCGCAAGCTTTAAGTGATTGAAGCAGAAATTTTATCAGAACAGATAATAAGCATAAACAAACAATACATTTTCAATACTATAATGCACATTTTGAACTTTTTTTTTTCAGAGAAATGTTTCACTCCAAAAGTAATCAAGAGATAGCCACTGAGGCTGCTGCTCGCATTGGCTCGTCTTTTATTCAAGGCTCAAATTTAAAACCAGGAAACAACGCAGTTGATCAGGTACAAAAATCTTGCTTTGGCATTTCAAGCCTTTTTTTTTTTAAATTATTTGTAAATGATTATCCATGATCAAAGACAATTTATTTTGGCGACCTTGCACTGCTAGTCTTATTATAGTGCAGAAGTTGTATCCAAAACTCAACGCTCAGATTTTTAATTTGTGGCTCATTTTATAAATAAAAAATGTGCCATTTGCTGATAAATGCATTTACAGATAAGTTGATTTAGCTGCCACCAAAGTCCTTGAAAAAATTATCATTATTACCTCTCATCGTAAGGCCCTTTGCCATTGAGCTAATGGACCACTAGATAAGGTACGAATTTCTGCATTCTGATACATGATTCGTAACTAAAATTTCACGTAGAATACGACGCGCACAACGAAAATTACCGAACTCCTTCCGAAGATATTTAACGATTCTTGATACGTGAATTCAAACCACCCGCTCATGAAAACTCAATTCTCTACGTGATTCACATCGCGCGCTGAATGTTATTATGACAGTCTCTGCTATATAAAAATCTGGCAACCTCAATCTTGACGCTTTGGCTCAGCTATAGCAAATTGCTTTTAGTTTGAACAACACATGGTGGGAAATGAACATTGCTCGATTGAGAAGCTTGCTGAAACCGTTGTAGTGGGCGATTTGACTCACGTTGAGCTCTGAGTTTCTTGTGAGAGGGCAGTTCAAATTCTTCGTAACCAATGTGAAATAAAAACGTCGGTATCTTCATTAGGAGTTGGTTTCAGTAATATTCGTTGCGTGAATCGTTTTCTACGTGAAATTCTGGTTAAGAAACATGTATCAGATCGCTTAAATTCGTACCTTGTCTAGTGGTCCATTGCATGCAAGACTTTAAAACTGCTGAAAATAATATCTTAGGTACCTATTTCTGAAGCTTAATTTTAAAAGTTCGTACATCATCCCATATACTTATGTTTTTTGAATTGCTTTTCAGATGATTATTCAAAAAAATCCAAATGATCTGTTCGCCACAGAGCTAGAGATTAATGACACGCCATTGGCCACGCGTAATCTCCTCACAAAAGGAATTACTCAAGAAGAGATCAGTAGCATATCAGGTTTGTCGCTTTATTATAATATGAGGAAGACAGTAATCACTAGTTATGATGAGCTGTAATGTTTGCAACAATGTTCGACTATGTTTTGCAAATAAGGGACCAATAGCCCTGGCTCACTCTACAGTTCAGGGTCTTGAAAAGCACCACCCCTGTAACCCCTAAGATTCTTGCCCCTTCTCAGGGTAGTCCCTCAAGAATTTCAGAGGTTCCCATCAGTGGATCTCCTTGACCCAGGGGCACTCACAAAATTTTAAGTCTCTTTCTGTATTCTTGTGATGCCTGCTGTTGGAGGTGCAGGACTTTTGGATCACCCTGCAGAAACAACTTAAGGTAGCATTTTCCTACAAAAAAATGAAATCAGCAAAATATCATAGCTAGGTTGCTTGTCAATGTACGGATTCAATTGGACCGCGTTAAACAGAAAGGAACCAAGCCACATCAGCTATTGCCAAATTTAATTGGCTAATTTAATTTTTTACATGCAAACAGTTTTGTGGATTTTTGTGCAAATTTCAGAGAATTTTCTCCACAGTACGAAGCAAATTCCTAACATTTTCAAAAAGATCCGCACAAACGTTTTCTTGTAAAAAATTAAACTGCCCAATTAAAATTGGCAATAGCTAATGTGGCTCGGTCGCTTTCTGTTAAACGCATAGAGTACAATAGAGTTGCAATGTACTGGAGCGCCAATGAAGTCAATCCGCGAACGGGCCTTTTCGAGCCCCTTGTTCGCCGGAAAGTGTGAACCAAGTGTGAACCCGATGGCATTTTGTAACACGGCGGCTTATGAGAGAATCGCGGACTGTGAGTGGTTTTTGGGATTTCTTATTGTAAATCAATAATTATTTTCGCGAATTTTGGCAAATTATATTGACCAATATCATAACAAATTAAAAATGTACAGAGCTCCCAGTTTTAATGAGATAAATTTTATACCTGTGTTTTCTGAGCGGACCCCAGAGCTCGGGCCCGGCGGATACAGTACCGCTAATCGCCGCAGACTAATCTCAGAAGTCCTGGACAAAACAGTCTCAAAAAGTGACTTCATCTACGCTCCAGTACATTGCGACTCTATTGCACTCTATGGTTAAACGCAGGGCAATTAACCTCGATTTTTCAATTATTTTTGAAGTATAATGCTGTTATTCTAACAATAATGAAATACTTATAGTCTGTGCAAACCAATTAGACCGAGTAAAAATTTGGGCATTTTCGAGAGAGCCGAGAATTGCAACGTCGGATCCCGGCGAGGGGCCGCTGGGTCAGCGCTGAGCTCACCGGTGTATTGTTCCCATTGTGTCCACGCGGGGTCTTTACCTGGCGGCCAGACTCTAGTCATTAAGGCCCTCTGGCCATTGGTGGACCAAAAATTGCACACCAATTTATATCATTTGTGAATTTTTCCCTCATTTCAACGGATTCGGATTCATCTTGCAATCCTGATGAAAAATATATAGAATTATACGTAAATATAATGGTAAATTATTGTATTACAGAACTTTTTTGGAAAGCGCTGAAGGAATTTGCAAGTTCTGTAATACAATAATTTACCATTATATTTACGTATAATTCTATATATTTTTCATCAGGATTGCAAGATGAATCCGAATCCGTTGAAATGAAGGAAAAATTCACAGATGATAAAAAAATTGATGTGCAATTTTTGGTTCACCAGTAGCCAGAGGGTCTTAATGACAAGGGTCCGGCCACCACTTAAAGGCCCGGCGTGGTCACAATGGGAACAATACCTTGGTGAGCGCAGCACTGACTCAGCGGCTCCTCGCCGGGATCCGACGTTGCAATTCTCGGCTCGCCCGAAAATGCCCAAATTTTTACTCGGTCTAATTGGTTTGCACAGACTATAGTTCAGATGCTGACATGTACATTGCACAGACCATGAGCTCTAGCGTTTTTCACAAAGCACTATACGCCAAACTCAGCTAGGTAAAACATGGAGTATGCCTGTCACTAATTCTTGAAGCTTAGATGGCTTATATTGAGGACTTTTTTTAATTTAGTCAGAAGGTTTGAAATGAGTTTGTTTCAAGTGAAATGCAGGGTAAAAATTGGAAGTCTCCAACGACGAAGTTAAGTTTAATTGCAAATGCAGAAATATTGTCAAGCATGAAACTGGTAGAGTGTTTTTCATCCTTCTCTCTTTTTTTCCCCCCCTTCAGCTCTTATGCCTGAATTTTAAGAGCTGTGATTTTTGTTTTTTTGAGAACAACTTTCATATTTTTTCTGCAGTCATTGATCAACTTGAAAGGTGCCCTATTCTTTCTGTTCTTTAAAACAATATGCATGATTATTGTCTAATTTTACCTCAATCCAATGAGCAATTCATGTATTTTATCAAAATTATGAAATTGGTCCCTTTTTCAGGTGCTTCAATATCTACACGTGGGCGGTATTTTAGTCCAGCAGAGAAGGAAAAAATTGATGGCAAGTTTCTCACTAGTGATCGGCCCTTGTATTTGCACATTCATGGTCCCACCCGACAGAGTTTAGACCGTAAGTGTTTCCCCTGAAATATTGGTCAGCATTAAATTTTTTTCTGTAGAAATTGTAGCCTTTTCGCAAAGACGTTGGCCTCTCATTCTTTGCATACAGTCCCTACTGCTGTGAAAATGGTGAAATGAGATGCCTTTTGGGAATGAGTCATTAGTTGACAGAGACAGTTTTAAGGAGCACTTTCTTTGTCAAATTAGGTCCAAAATTTGGTATTCAGTGGCGTGGCGTGCTTTGCGATGTATCGATTGTTATACCATTTAAACCTATGGAAAATGATCGATAGACAGGGTGTTCGCAGCGAACACCTTAATAATCGATTCTTTACCATAGGTTTAAATGGCAGAACAATCGATACATCGCAATTCACGCCACGCCACTGTTGGTATTTAACCTTTCGACTGATAATGCTGTAGTATCCCAAAAATGAGGTATTCAGTTCATTTGTGTGCTTATTAATAAAGTTACATAGTACCTAATGTGACTTTCGTCAGCCCTGATCATGCCAAGTGAAAATCCAAAGTTGGTTTCTTTCAAAACGAGGTGGTTTTGAACTTCAAAACAATAGCTTTCTCAAGCTCAATTTTGTTGTCATTTTTGTAGAGGAATGTTCCTTAATGTCTCTGCTGCAAAGTAGCTCTAAAGACGCAATTTTCAAATTTTTGGCATGAAGATCCCTTTTCTTGTGGACAGTTACTATTTTTGGATACTATTTTTATTTGAGTCCTGGGATGTATGGGATCCTTTTGACGCATGATGTACAATAATAACCATTTAAGCAGCGGGTAACAACGCTCATTTTCTTTTGAGTACCACCAAAACATTTTGGTGGTATTTATATGAAAATTAGCCTTGTTACCCACTGTTTAAATCGTTATTTTTGCATATCTTGTCACAGGCTGTGGAGCATCTAACATATCTCGTCTCTTTTTGACACAAGTCAAGGATAATTTGCATGATCTCTGATGACCCCTTCTCTGAAAAACATCTCACTGTGATTGACCATCAGCGTCTCCTGTTCGGAACGCATAACACCTTGGCGCCATTGATTTAAGTTTTGGTCGCTTAGGGTCCTACAACCATCCTATCAACCTTCTGAGCTAACACAAAAATTAGCTCTGGCTATCATTACAGTTGATCAGGAAATAGGTTAATTCCTTACCACCTCTGTGATTTGTGTAACTTCTTTCTTTATTGTTTCTCAGTGGCCATGCAAAAAATCCACTGCCTTATCAGAGAAACTTCCAGGATGGAACCAATCAACAGGTTTAAACAAACTCCTCCACCAATGATGACCATGCAAACAGGACAGCCAAGCATGGTATGAATTTCTTTTTTCTTCTCCATCTTCAACGTCATGCTGACATTTTAGATCCTCATTAATTTTCAAACATAGTTTTTAAAAAATAGGGAGGTAGTTAGCAGCTATTTCCAAAAATTTTAGGTACTTTGTACCTGTTTTTGCCCTTTTCATCCAACCAAAAACAAATTAAGGCGAAGTCCTGCTGTTAAAAAAGAAGATCATCGATCAAGATTATCTGGATGCGACTGAAGCTCAATCTGGATCCTTCACGAGATTACATGGAAAGCTTGCAGAAGGTTGCATTTGGAATCTGGATGAATTTTGCAGCAGATGAAATCGTTAATTGCACTCATTCGGGAAAAAGAGTTATAGGGAGGATTTGATGTTTGAAAGAACTCGACATTTTTCTGTAAAATTTTCACCACTTGTTATTTTTCTATGTTATATTTGAACCACTAAATACAAAAAGGGCACATGTCCAGAAAACCAAATTGTTCAAGAGACACAAAAAACTGTTTATTTCGTGGTAGATATTCTTAGGAAAGTTGTTATGTTTAAAAAAATATCTACCACGTAATAAACAGTTTTTTGTGTCTCCTGAACAATTTGGTTTTCTGGACATGTGCCCTTTTTGTATTTAGTGATTTATTTATGGAATCATCATGTAAATCCTTGCTCTTTGTAACTGTTTTCCTCTCCATGATTTTATTACTTAAGTAAGCATGTTTGATTATAGAATCTGATGTATTTTGCATAGCCAAACAGCTTTTTGCATAAAACCGATGAAGAAATTTAATTTCTTTACATTTTTTTGCATTCATCAATTCTATTTACGATGGTATACATAAGTAAAAAAAAAAACTAGAAAATAATCCAGGAAAACAAGGTGACAAGCTACGATAGATGAAGGAATTGAAAAAATTCATTGGAATAATTTAATGAAAGAGGTCATCGATACAAATATGTAGGAAGAACGCCTTAAAATAAATTAAATTGCTGATGCATTTATAGATTTGATGAATGTGTCCATGTGTGATGAATTCTATTTAAGAATAAGAGTGTCTTTAAGATGTGTCGACCTTTTGATGTTTATTCCTCTCTATAAATTTTTGTTATTTTATTTCCTCTAATTTCTTTTTTTTTACATAGTAATGAATTTTTAATTATTTTTATTATTCAGGTGGTTAAGTGAAGTCGTGTAATATTTGCATTCTATTATTTTTTATTGTTACTTCACTGAATCAAGCTCACTAAATTCTACTCAGATGTTTTGCTTAGATACCCTTATGATTGAGAGAGCTCCAAATTGTTGGAATAAAAGTCATCCTCATGAAACTTAAAGCCTCTAAATTACGTGTAATTCTTGCAGATACTTTTTTTAAAGGATATTCACTGTTGGATTCATTTTCAGGAGAAAGTACTGGTAGGCATGGATCATGCCCCTCCCGCATTTGATGTTCGCAGCAAGGTCTTGGGCCCAAACAATACAAACCTTCTCTACGTTAGTCATGAAACTGGTTGCAATGTGACTTTGCGAGGACGTGGTTCTGGCTTTATCGAACCTGGATCAAATCAAGAGTCTCCAGAGCCTCTCCATGTCTGCATTGAGTGAGTTTTCCATGAAATCCTGTTTTTTTTTTATTTTTTAGATTGATCAATTCATTGAATACAGGTTCAAAGCATTCTTTGATTTGCTCTGCAGACCACCTCAAAAAAGATCAAATCATCTAAAAACTCATGAAATTGGGAATATGGTGATAATCCCTCTAATTCCATAAAAATGTTTGCCAAGTTTTCTCAAAGCTCTTCATAATTTTAAAACAAAAATTAAAAAGAAAATAAATTTAAAATTTGTCTATCATTGATGATTATCCAATTATGTTTAGTTATCTTCATAATTATGTTTACTTTAAAATGCTTCAAAACCTACATCAGAAAAAGAATTTTAAGATAATCGAAATCTACAATCACTATTCAGCAGAAATCATGAAACTTGGCTGTTTTAGCTCCCAAAAAACTTGGAGTGAAAAATTTAAAAAATAAAGGAGGTGAATTGTAGCTTTCACTGAGGGATTTATTCTCAAATGAAGGCCCAATTTTCAAATTTAAGAGTTTATAAATTTCTCAGTGAGTTTATACTTTACATCCTGCAGAATTATCTATTTGTCTACTTGTCCTTGCTTAAATCATATGATGGTTTGGCCTCTAGTCTACGATCATCAGGCCAATGTTAAACCTGATGATCAGGACTAAAGTCCCCAAAAATTCCATTGTCCCATAATATAAAAAGCGGAAATACAGAGTAAGCAAACAAGAAGGTAAGATACAAAAAAAAAAAAAAAAAAAAAAAAAAAAAAACCATTACATACTTCTCTCCATGTTAATAAAAATGATGAAGTGCTTCAAGTGACATCAAAATTTCACATTTTAGGCATATGAAACCAGAGATGGTTCAAGCTGGCAGGCAATTGGTCTGCAACTTAATTGACACCATCCAACAAGAACTTGCCTTACATCCAACATCTCTACAGCATCCACCTCCCCAAATTCAGCTTCAACAAGGTGCAAATTTTTATTATAATCTATTCATTTGTTTACCTTTATTGTAAATTGTTTGAATACAGTTATTGTTGATCGATACAAGGCACTGCTTTCAGTTCAGGACATCATCATACTGTTCAAGTACCACTACGTAGTGACACATCATTGGGGAAATATTGAAAACAAAAAATCATAACTATGTTACCCAAACTGAAGATTTTCTTTCTAAATCAAATTGGTGGTCGTATATAGTGGAAATATCGAGAATTTTGAATGGCAGTAGTTTTGGAACAGCTTAACCTCCTGACTGGCGAAAAACCAAAATCTGCTTAAGTCAAATTGGACACTGAACAAATTTCAAAATGTCCTACAGTGAAATATTTTTCCTAATTTGCCGAATCGATCCTGACAATTTCACAAGTATTTCGCGTCAGAGATGGAAAATTTTCAAGAGCAGATTTGACGGATGTTGATTTTGGCCTTTTTTCCCTCTTTTTTATCAGCAGGAAGGTTTGAATCATCGAATCCAAGTGTAATCAAAAAGTCTCATATTCTTACTTCCGAGTGGATTTTGGTAGCGTTGACTATGTCAACGTTTCTTGCATTATGAGCTTTTGAATTTGAGGAGGAAACATATCTTCAGGTACTTTAACTCGTACCCTGTCTTTGGTTTGATTCTCGAAATTGATAGACAAAGAAAAAGAGAAATTGAAGAGATCCTATCGGTAGAAGCGGGTAGTTGCAATGGACAAAAGAGATAAGTAATAGACTAACTAATGATAACTCAGGATAGACCTTATAGTTGGTCAATCACTTTCCCCCTTTAGTCTACAACAACGGCCTGTTTCAACCAACAGGATTGCTCTGTTTTCCTTTTATCTCTGTCTATCAATTTCCAAAATCAATCTGCAGGCAGTCCATTTTCTATTTGTTTTTGTAAAACAAATGGGTAAGGCAGAGAAGTTATAGAGGTGTTTGTATCTCATTGCTGCAGGTCAGCAGTGTGTCCAGACTGTGAGCATGGGTCAAGGAGGTCTTGTGACACTGCAGCCGAGCGGAGATCAACTGGCGGCTGGGATGGTTGCGACATCCATTGCACTGCCTGTCATGACAACGCAGCCAGTAACAGCCCAGCTGGTGTCAGTGCCTCCACCTTCGCTGGGCGTTCCTCCTCCGCAAGCACCGCCTTCAGTGAGTCAGGCCACACAGTTAGCTCTCCCGCCACCAGGCATACATATCCCAACACACGCAGGACCAATGATTCCCTCGCAACAGGTCAGTATCAATACACAGGGCTAGCGAAAATGAAGCGAGGAATTCGCATGTAGGATTCTTGTTATTCTTTTAGCACTGAATCTAAAAATGAAATTGATGTTTTCCTATTGTAGCAAAATTTCTTGGATACTGCTTCAGGATTGAGAAAAATGCTTCATCCTACCTTTTGAAGCGAAACAAGCGGATAAGATTTTCATTAGATACTTGTAAGTGAACAGATTTTGTTGTTCAACTGAAGAAGCTTGGGTTTAAAAAAAGAAAATAAAAAGTCTTAAGTCTTGTAATAGGTTTTTAATAGGCAAAAAACTGACAATGAGAAACAATGAAAAAAATTAAAGAGTCATAAAAGTTAATAAGACAGTGCTGAGAATTTATCACTTCATCTTGCACCCACCGCAAGTGTTAATCAAATTAATCAAAAAAACGAGCGGTGATGGCGGGAGGAAGAGACTAGACACGAAAAAGGCCACGGAAACCCATCCACAGCACCTATGGCAAGGTTGCCGCAGTCACTGGAGGAAGAGCCCTAATAACCTTTATCAGAAGCATGATCTGTTGTGATAGTTGATTAACTAGCATTTGCGCTGAAATTCTTTTTTCCAAATAATTGACTTGATAATTGGGTTTGATCTGGGACGCGGGGTTAACAATTTGTTGAACTGGCTGAGGGCCTTTTAAAGCATTAGCGAAAGTCTTATCAGACTTTGTCGTAATGAGAGGAGGCACAGGGGCAAACACTAGGGCTTATTCCCTTAGTTTCCGAAAATTCACAATTTTCTTTTTGGGAATTCCCCTGTAAACTCTGCATCCTTTAAAATTACTGGCATGATTTTCTGAGCATAGAGCACAAGTTGGTAAGAGGGGACCAATAGGTTTAACAAACTCAAAAACAGGACCAATTTCGTCATCCTGTCTGAGGAAGCAGAAATTTTTTACAGCCGGGTCAACAGGGCGCACTTCCCCCGCGTGAAGTTCACTGCGCAGGATATACCTCGGCTCCCTGAAACAGCAAGCCTGGGTGCAGCCCAGTGCAAAGCATTTCCGTACTGAGGGACCTCCCTACTCACCCTAGGCAACTCCATCTTGACGACAATCTCAGTAATGGCTGTGATTTTCAGGGGTGCACAATATACTAGATCACGCGATAAATTTGTGAAAGGCCTTCCCGATTTTCGTAAGCGCGATCACGCGATAAATTATCGCGTGAAAATGTGGAAGCGTCCCAAATTTTGTGGAAATTTTTTTTCTTTCTTTCTTTCTTTTCGTTTCTTTTCTCGCTCTTCACTTTGAATCTCATATTTTTACCGAAACATTGTGTAAGGGTTTTCACAATCTTCACCAAAATCTTCGGGAAAAGTTTCCACATTTTTTACCAAATTATTGTGGAAGGGTTTCCACAATTTTTACCGAAATATTGTGGATGGGTTTCCACAATTTGGACCAAAATATTGTGGAAGAGATCCATTTGTTTCTAGTGTTGTATTATTTCACATGTGTGGCCGAAAAATTGTGGAAGGGTTTCCGGTTTCCACAATTTTTACCGAATGATTGTGGAAAGCTTTCCACAATTTTTAACAAAGTGTGGAAGGCTTTCCACAATTTTTACCGAAATATTGTGGATGGGTTTCTACACTTTGGACCAAAATATTGTGGAAGAGGTTTCACATGGCCGAAATACTGTGGAAGGGTTTCCGATTTCCACAATTTTTACGGAATTATTGTGGAAGGCTTTCTACAATTTTTCACAAAGTTAGAAGGGTTTCCACAATTCTTACCGAAATTTCCAAAATTACAAGGTTTCCAAAATTGTCCACAAAATATAGAACACCCTGTATAATTTCCCACGCAATGAGGACTGGAGAAGGGTTTCCACAAGTTTACAGAAAATTTGTAGAAGGCCGCCCAAGAGTTTTTCACGGAAGATTGTGGAAAGCTTTCCAGTCTAAATTTTTGCAAATTAGTTTCTTGTCTATGTCAGTCAACAACCCTCCCCTAATTCCCCACTGGAAAGAACAAAAAAAAAAAAAAAAAAAAAAAAAAAAAAGGTCATCACTTTTTGTGGAAGGAGTCACGAAATTGTGGAAATTTTTTAAAAAATTTCTGTGGAAGAGGAAAAGCTTATCGCGCGAAATTGTGGAAGGATAGTAAAATGTGCACCCCTGGTGATTTTTAGCAATATCATTAGAGACTAAGTCAATGTTAAAAAGTGGAATAGGAAATTTAGTTGCATAATTTCTTATCTGACTAATGTTTTTCTTTTGAAAGCCGTTATGTCTTTCAATCCCTGTTTTTATCTGCTCTACAGGATATAATCTATTGGAAGACCTCTAAAAACCATTTTAAAGGATTTGTTTTCTTTAACTTGGAATGTATGCAATTTGATATTTTTCGCAAGTAGATGAAGCTTAAGTTTTTCATATTCTGAGAAAGTATTAACTGTAATTTTTACTTGAGATCTATTGACTACTTAAAGCATGGAGGCAGGAGCAACGAGGCCAATCATTACTGTTTTGATGAAGGAACTGAAACTTCGGTTATGAAAAAAAGGGGGAGGGGTTTCTTTTCTACTGCTAAGCTACTAAATCTATTGGACTTATCACTAGCCACAGTATCACTAATTTTATTACTATTGTCTTTTAATACACTATTCTTAATTGAAGAGCCAGTTTTAGAAAGAACTACAGTTCTTTTCTTAGCTGGTCCCTTTGAAGGTGAATTAGGAGTTGATGTTGGTTTCCTTTTCTTGGACATGACAACCTTCCAAACTTCTTCTGCCTTTTTTATGTCCTTTTGAGACGGTAAAGTCGGAGGGGGCTTGAAAGTGAACCTTGGTGGTGCTGGATCTTGATCCTTCTCCTTCGAAATGGGCGATGGCGAGGGCAAGAGAAATTTCTGTGAAGGTGAAGGGGTGGTTTCCATGCGGGAGACATTACTTTCACTGGAGGCTTCATATAATCCAGAGGTAGAGGAAACAGGAAGAGAATGCTTACCTGGATTCTTTTGTATCTAATAATGTAATTTTTGTTATGTTTTTGTAGCTGAGCAGCCAGGCACCTGTGTTCTGTGTTCGATTGCTCTGTTTGGCAATTTTGGTGGTTAAGACATGTTTTCACACCTTTGCTATTTTTTTCATTCATCATCGTGTTTTTTGAAAATATAAACCAATAATTGTTTTATTTAGAAATATGTTCCAAGCTCTTAAAATTTTTGTTGAGCGTTTTAGCATTTTTGCAAAATTTTAAAAATTGAAATTGCTTTGCAGAACTTCAAATAGCGAAATTTACTAAGTAAAAATAGCTTTGCAATCGTGTTTTTTTCTATACTATAGTACTTACAATATCTCCTATTTTCTGCCTTTCAGAATGTTGTTCAACACCAAGTATTGTTGCAACAGCAACCTCCTCCAGTTACCGTTACCACTTCACAGCCACAACAGGTAATTTTTATCTCATGGGTTTTTTTTCACCTTTTCCTTCAGTATATTTGCATCTCAAACAAATACTTTAACTTTCTGACATGATCAAATGGATTGTTTCATTATCAGGCTAGATTCTGGGTGTGCTTGCTTTACAACAGAAATTGGTTTATCATGGAAATAAATCAGAACGCACCGTGTCGGAAAGGTCTGAAGTCATAGTTGAGACCCACCTTGATAGATATAGCCACAAGTGTGAATAATTCTGAGTGAGGGCTACTAAGTAATTACAGAAATGATGCAGGGAGAATATGATTTCGCTGAATGAAGGCAGATGCTGTGTTGGTGGTAGTCAGAGACAAGACACCCATCACTAGTATCTTGACAATTGTGGAAGCCTTTACTTTCGGGACTTCATTATTCAGCTGTTGACCTACCTTCTTAGTTAATGTTAAACAACGTGTTGGCAGTTTTGTTTTGCGAACAAACCCAAATTAGGGAAATTTGTTTGGCTCATAATGTCACCCGGAGCTCATCATCCACCATGTAGGTAGGTCAACAGCTGAAAAAAGAGTCATGACTGTTGCTCCCTTAAAATTGTCCACAAGGAAGTGTTGAATCCCTGAAAGTGAAAACTTCCACCTGTGGCCAAGAGGCCAGTGGAGGGTCTCTTGTTGTTGGTGATAATGCAGACCGATTAGACATTGAAATGTAATGTATTGCAAGGTGAAGATGGTCTTGTCTTGCCGACCTAGTTTTAATTTTCGGGCCGCAAAGGAGGGAGGAAAAGGAGTTCTCTAACTTGAAAATTGAGATATCACAATGATGCGGAGAAGTTTTGGTCTTACGGGATATTTTGTACCAGCAGCCTATACATGGACAAGCATGAGCATATCTCTTCTTTCCCCTCACAAAAGAACTCAACTACATTTTAATGCTGCCAAATTCCCCCTTCCCAATTGCATAAATTGTCATAAATCTTTGGCATTCCCAACTGAAAATTTCATTGATTTTTCCTCTGATTTCATGCAGAAATCAAAAAAATTTTGGACGAAAATTATGGAGGTACATTTTTGCAAACAATTAAATTCTTTGAGTTAATTTCGCAACTTTAAAATAGATTTACGTTCCAGCGTACGGGAAACGATGATCCGATACTGTTTCTACTTGCATGTCCAGGTGAGACAAAACAAAGGACATATCGGAATGATGAACTCGCCAGTGCGCCATGGACCCTTCTTTTGGAAAGTTTTTCAATCAAATGAGTAAAAAACTTTCTAGTCAATTTTGGCTTTATCTTAAAGAGTGCCTTGGCTGCATCCAACTTTATCTTTGACACTTTTCAGTTTATTTGATACAATATCTTCCTCCCTTTGTTGTAGGTGCTGGTTAGTCATTCCGGAAACACAATAACGAATTCTACTTTTTCAAATGGGATCATTGCTCAACAATCCTCACTTCCCATTCAGGTATGCTCTGATTCTATCTTCCTCAAGTCGGAAGAATATTTTATTTTTACATCTCAGTCGTTGCTAATTTTGTTTTCATCCCTTTATTTGTTCTATTTCAAAGCCTGTTGGAAATATTCAATCTCTTTCAGGACCCCTTGTAAAATGGATAGCTAAGTCAATGAGTCAGTTAAGCTTAGGTGGATGCTGCCTACCAATAGTTAAGCTTGTAGCTTTTTGTACAAGAAAAATGATGAACGCAGTGGAATATTGGTAGAATTGAAAAATCCAACTAGCCACTCTGTTTGAGCTCTAGACCCAAGCGTGTATCACATCTTTTCTTGATCAACAATATAACTTGCTTAATCTATCTTTGTAGTTTCCACCATTATATCAACCAAGACATATGAGTGGTGGAATGCCCAAACCACATATTTCCGTTTGCAACATTGCTCACTTAAACTACTCAACAGAAATTCTAAGAAACTGCCTTGATTTTTCTTCTTTGTACGAAGAAAACTCTGTGAAAACATTAAGAAATGATAATGACTTTCTTCCCTTTAAAAGAATAAAATAGGAGCGGAGATTTTAAAACACTGCAAACTAAATATGTGGTTTGGGAGCTTTACCATGGATGTATGTTCCCAGTCAACAATCAAGCACCAAATTCCTGTTCAGGTATTTTTAATTTTGCATTTTAGAATGGATTTTCTTGCAATTGCTCTCCTGAAATCCAAACTAGAAAATCAACTGCCAGCTTGGTTCTTTTAAAACCTTTGAATCATGCAGTGAATAAAATGTCTGAACTAACTCATTACCTTATCATCTTGACTTGATGAAAGAAAACAAATCTCTCCAAACTGTGGAAACACATATTCTGCTCACAGAGTTTTGAGTACCTCACTTTCAAATTCTTATCTTCCACGAGGGAGCCCAAAACATCACTTCTGGTCAAAATTATGTTGAGAAAATATATCTTTCTTTAGGAAAAGTATCGTAAGTGCTTTTATTTTTGAATTTGAGTTATCAATGGTTGCCAATTCTTTAGGTACTTTTACATGTGAAAATAATAGCTTTTTGCCTAATAACAGTCAACAATGCATTATAAAAAATTGGGAAAGTTGAGGAAAGTGCATATCGCAAGTTTGGAAAGTTTTGGCAAGAGTGAGAATTTTTTTACTGCCTATCTTTCAATCTTTGGCTCTGTTTAACTTGAAAGATTATTGGCAACCAAAAGTATGACATGCACCATGAAACTCATATAAAATCCATCATAATCTCCATTCTGTGTTCTTAGAATCTTTTTAAAATGAGGTATAAGGAGCATCGATTACGGTGGTAATAATTACCTTTTCGAGGTTTTCCAATTATTTTAACTCCTTGTTCTGTGATCTGTTTTGGTATAATAAGGGTGCGTGTGTTATTTCTCCATTTTCAGTATGTTCAAACCGCCAACGGAACGATCATGGCAGTACCAAGTCAACCACCGATAATTAGTCACCTTGTTCATCAACCTTCAATCACTAGTCAGCCCCCACCGTCCAACAGTATTCAGAGCAGCATTCCTCCGCCGAACATTTTGGGTCAGCCACCAACGGGAGTGCCACCACCAGTTCTTCACCAGCAAGTACAAGTTGCGCACCTCCAGCCCCAAATCCTCCAGCACCAAAACCAGCAGGTGGGTAATTTTGTAACAATAAATGGGATGGGTAGGGAAAACCGGGAAATGTCAGGGAAAAACTGCCAAGTCACTTTTATTTACTATATAGAATGGGTTTGACGTTTCTAACAACAAACTTTGCCTAAAAACTATTTATAATTATGTATGTTTAACCATCTGGAAAAACCATCTTAGACCTCTCAGTGTGACCTCAACTTAATATTCCAATGCAAACTGTCTGAGCTGAACACTCAGCCCCCCCCCCCCTCAGTTTTGTACTGGCACTCATTAGAGTTAAATAAATTTTGACTCTAATTGTAATTTTTGGAATATCTTGGCTTTGATTTCTTCACCTTGTTTTACCATCTGACATATCTTCGATTACTGTCAGGGAATTTCTCCAAAATGTCCCTGGGAAATGTGAGGGGATTTCATTTTCTAAATTCTGTGGCAACCCTTGGCAAAAATCAAGAAGTGATTTTTAAATGATTTTTCCTTTGTACTCTGTGTCTACTGCTTTGTTCATCAATTTCAATAATCAACCTGCTGTAAACCCTCATAGTTTTTACCAGATGATGTTGACTCGCACCGTAGCCTACTAAAAACTGGCACTCTTATGCCAATCTTTCGTCACGTTCTGAAAGAATGTTTGTTTACCCAGGTAATGTTGCTGCAGTATCATCAACAAGGTCAGGTGGTTCAACAACCAGGACAAGTCATCCAACCAGGTCAGATAACCATCGACCAGAGTGGGATGCAAGGGCATTTTGTCACTGAGCAGCAGCCCAGCCTGATACAGCAGCAACCAGGGATCCAGGGAGTCCCAATTCAGCAGCAAGGCATACCACAACAGCAAAACATTATCCAGCATCAGATCATTTCCCAGCAGGGCTTCCCACAGCAGCAAACGTTACAGCATCAAAATGTACTGCAGCCGGGCTTGCCGCACAGTATGATTCAACAACAGGTTAAATAACTCTTTCGTTATGATTACAAAATTGTGTCTGGTGTTATGGCTGTGCTCGCTGTTTGTATTTTTGTTTGTAAATCTTACTCAGGAGATTGTGACAAAAATCATGTCAAAAAATCTAGAAAGTAAGCATTTGCTAGCCAGGGTGGTCCTATCTGAGTGGTGACAAGACCACCCGGGCCGGTGCTGATGAGCGTAGCCTCGTGAGCATCGGAGTCCGAGCCTCGGGTATGGGTGGCGGAGAAGTGGAGAGGGGCCGGAGTGGACTGGAAGGGAAGGGTACAAATAGTCCCGCTCAATGGTCCGGCCGGCAGGACCTCCGTTCACGCATATAAAACAGCGAATATCTCGAAAACCGCTCATGGGATCTCTTTGGGCCCGTGAGAACTTCTGATCAAAATGACTAGCAAAGCAACATGTCAAAAATTCATCCAGTTTTACTGGGGGGGGGGGATTTCCCATAAGGATGGTACGGGGCTTTTTGACAAAAATATTGACATGAAATATTTGCCTGTTAGAACTAAGGTCTCTTTTCGAGGGAGCAGTCACACTGAAAAATTACGTATTTAAGCATTCTCTGTATTTTCCTTACTTTGTTTCAAATGAGAATTTAAGGAATTATTTAGATACAAGTTTATTAATTATCCACATAAGTGAATATCATTAATAATTAATCATGATCTTTTCCTAGGTGCAGCAGAGTATTCCACAGCACACGATCCAGCACCAGACTATGACACAAATGATGCCGCAGCAACAAGGCCTACAACAGCACAGCATACACCAACAACAAGGCATGCATCCTCCACCAATGCATCAACAGCAAATCATAACGCAGAGTTTGCCCCAGCAACAGAATCTGCTTTCCCAGCAGAATGTCATGCAGCGTCCCCAGTTTGCACAAAGTATGCCCGAGTCAGAGGGTCAGCACTATCAGCAGCAGCTGCCAATGAATCAATCATCGTTTGAGCGAATGAAACAGCTAGGAGCGCAACAGTCTCAGCATTCACAGCAACAGCAATCGATGCAGCAGTCGCAAGAGCAGCGATCCCAGCAAGCGCAGGAACAACTGATGCAGCTTGCGCATCAGCGATTGCAGGTGCCCGGTGGACAGTCGAGCCAGGGCTCTCCGCAGAATCGGCCCTCACCACCGCACCAAGGCAGGCAGTCACCCAACGTTTTACTGTCCCCACAGTCAAATGTCCGCATCATGTCGCCCATGCAGACTGTCAAACATCAAGCTCAGAAGCGTTCTTATGATGAGTACACTGTGAGTCATTCTGTTCCACGATTTTTCGCTTATTTCTTGATTTGAAGGAATTCTAAAGAGTTTATTAAGCCTCTAAAAGCCAACAAAACAGTTGAAACAGTTAAACGAAAGTAGTTGAGAAACTTCCTCCCATATCAGCATCCCAAAGTCAAAAGGTACCTAACTCCATTTTAGTCATTGCAAGATATCAGGGAAAAACTGTGCGCTGTCCTCATCGATTCCAATGTAAATCTCAATACTTGAAATTCTGTATCTCATAACCAGCGCAAGATAGGGTTACCAAATTTTTCACACTCATGGAACCGTTATTAGAGATTTCCAAAACGACACCAACTCGATTTTTTAAACAATGTGAGTTAGGTACCTTTTGGCTCTGGAGCACTGATATGAAGATAGTAATGTTGTTGTCAAAACCCATGATCTGGTCGAATCAAGTTGTCTGGTGTCATATGTAGCATTCATCAAATCCAACGGAAAGACAGTTTCCATAAAATGTCCAAGGTCCCTTTTAAAGTAAGCATTTCACTACTTACAGGTATTGTTTTCGGCATGTTTGCCATAATGAACACCCACGAATGTAAGAAAAAAATCCTGGAATTTTTTTTAAATTTTGAGGTGCTAACTAGTTTCTCTTTTTCAAATCTTTTTTCTGTATCTGCCTCAGATTTAGCCTCAATGCTAAAATATTCCATGTTATTGGAAATGGAAGTCTAATGAATTTTATCATTTATTTTCACAGAATGCTCCGCAGCCAGTTCCTGCTCCTAACGCAAGACCACCAAGACATTGCCTAGTGCGACAAGGCATTGGGTGAGTAATACAACTCAGCTTTTGTTTCTTTTCGTATTAACTGAACCATGCTTATCTATTTTTTTACAGCCAATCAGTATTCCAAAGCCAAAACAGAGTTAAGACTAATGTCATCCATTAGCAGATTGCTCAATAGCAACTTATTTTGCCTCAGAAAAATTCAAAGAAAATGTGTATAAGCTCAGCTGTATGGAGGCTATTGATGGCTAAGAAACAATTTCGGCGGAAATGAGTCAGCAACTTTCCCGCATTCTGCAGTCATAAAATACCCAAGTTGATGTTATTAGTTTTTCCCAATTCTGCTTGGGAGTGCTGTGCTAAAGTGATGATGTAACATATATAAACAATTGCAAACCTAACCCCAAAATTACGAAAATTACAGAGTTTTTCTTGGTCCTGTAAAATCGTCAGTTTGGAGATAAGCAGTATTGTTCCTTAGCCATGGGTATTTGAACGTATTTTCGTTCAACGGAACTATGTGCATCATGACGTGAGCCCTGTTATGCATGTATCCTTATGGGTCTCAGGGTTCATGTTGTAATGCTATAGTTCTGTTTGGCAGAAATACGTCCATTTGTTCACTTCTCTTTCGCCCATGCAGGCTCCTAGCAAGAAGAGTTTTTTCAGTCTAATTCAAACCTACCAAAAATTTCCAACTGATAGCACACATGTAATTTCACGTATTGACCACACTTTGCAACGAGGAACCCATATTTCTGGCTCATTTCAGAAACAATGTCTGTGCCTCTACTTCCCTTATGTAGAAAGGTGCTTTTATGAACTTGTCAGGAATACTAGTTCATTATTGCAAAGAAGGAGAGAAAATCCAATTAAATACCCAGAGGAAAAAGTTTTGAGCAATTTTAGTTCTTTTTTGGTGGAAAAACTCCACTTAAATGTCAGGATGTCACTGAATTTTGTATGATAAAATAATAACTTTCTGGAGAATTTGTGAATTATTCTCTTGGATCTTTCAAGTGAATTTTCCTACGATCTAATCGAATGTGTGTAAGAATACCAAGGATAAAGAAAAAATATTAACAGATACATAATATGCTCAAGAATAAATGTTGTGTCAAGGGAAATTTGGTAACATTCTGACGGAACTGCTGATGCCAAGGAACGACAGCATCATGCTCCAACAAGTTTAAGTCATGAACATGGTAGATTAACACTTTCAATAGACCCACAGAAAACTGTCATTTATACTGCTGTTTTAAGGGATAACGCTGTATCAGCCTTCAGGCGTTGCCAAATTTCCCTTCACAGACCACATTTTTTCAGGAATTTATAAATATGAATTCCCGGTTTGTCTGAGAATTTTGTTCACGATTTGATGTAGAAAGTGTCAAAATTCGAGGGATGGATATTCATGACTCTCCTAGAGTATGTAAATATTTTTTTGAAACAATTTGGCAACATTCGAATCCTCATATGGGGTTTTTCCCTTAGCATGGGAGCACATGCTTTCTGCAGTTACTTAAGTCTGTTTTGGCTTTTGCATGCAACATTGAGAATTCATAAGCCTTGATGTCACCAAGAACATTCAAAAACATGTATCCAGGATTTTTTTTTGAGCTAACAAATCTTTTTACTCAGTACGTCTCTTGACCTGTGTACACATCCTGTTTTTTCAATTCTATATTTTTTTGTACTCCTGTCATCTCGCCCTCCTTATTATTCCCATTTAGGAGCGTTAAATTGATTTTAAAAAATGAAAAACTTCATAGGAGTTACACACCTGTTCAAAATGCAAATGTCACTGGCTACAATTTTTACTTTAACTCTTATTCCCAAGATCTGTATCAGTCAAGGGAGGCTACAAAATCTCAAATTTATTGGAAGTTACGTGTCTTTTTCTACATCAGCTCTTGAGTTCACACCTCGTTTTCGCTTCAGAAATTTTGTCCCTGACGTGGAGCCTTAGTCTTTTATTTATTTCCCAGGCCAGTTAAAATTGGATTACATTTTCCAATTAGGAACTAATAATTCTGCTTCAGTTCAGAAATAGTGTTCATACCATTAGTTTTCCTATGTCATAAGTGTTTTTACTGGTGAACGAGAAATTGTAGTTCCGAATTGACAAATGTAGTCCAATTGAGGCACTAGGTGCAAGAAGGGCATTTCCCGGTCGCTGTGTTTCAAAATCTCTGTTGCTACTTTTTGTCTCTGAGAAGAATCCAATGGGTTGTTTCTCCGGAAATTCCTCCATGGAAAATAGCAGAACCATAAAAAATGTTCCAAAAAAGTTTCAATTAATTGCATCAATTTACTTTCCTTAAAATGAATGAAATGTTGGCAGTGATTCTAGAATGCCTCAACAGAAAAGTACTCCTCTTGCACCTAGCGCTTAAAATATAATTTATTTTTCTTGTAACATTTTTTTTTAAATTTTGGGAAAATTCTCCCCATCTCCTCTGAAAATCATTCAAAGTTTTTAAGGCTAGGATGTTGGGAGAACAGAGATGAGTAGGGTGACAAAATTGAACCCCAAAATGTCTTGAAAAGCAAAGGAAACCATGGAACGCCAGGATAAAAAATTGTATTCAAAACTTCTTGGGAAAAGGATATAAGGAGATCCTAGAAAATGCTGAAAGAAAAAAATTGCATAAAAGAATCTGAGGAGAGTAAATAAGTTTCTGTGAAATTCGGGAATGATTGGAGAAGAAATTTGTAATAAAACAATTGCAAGAAGGAGAGGGAAATAGCAGAGTGAAAAATTCTATCTAGAAAGGTTCGGAAAATGGTGATGTGGCAAAGAAAAAAATCTATCTCAGTATGTCTTAAACGTTTCAGTAAACTGAATGCATAAAGCTGAATAATCATTTTAATGACTTCTCTGTTTTTGAAATCTTCAAATCTTCCCGCAAAATTTGAGCACCTAGACCTAAAAATATAGATGAAAACGCAGGTGGTGCCAGATTTCTCGCACTTTTTGCTGCTCTCTTCACATTTTCTTCCTTCTTTTTAATTTTTTTTCCCTCCCTTTTATTTAAGTAGGCATCATTCTATTCCCTCACCCTTCCCAGTTTCATACCAGTTACTGTTGATTTTCCTCATATGTGTATTCTTAATTCTCACTCCTCTTACAGGATATTTCATTACATCTGAATTGGAGGAACGGGTTTGAATTCTAGTTTTGACAATTTTTGGCTTATGAATGTGCTCAAAAAATGGACCACAGAATTTTTCCTGTATCTTGTAAGGGCATTTACCGAGGCTCATATTAATCACAATGTTGGGAATTCACTTAGTGAATCTAACATAGATTAAAAAACTTGAACCTGTTTTAATGTATATGTGAGCAGGAAAGTGAATGGACCCCCAGACAAGATGCAAAGATCATTAGGATACATGTTTTCTCATCAAAATTTCACTTTAAAACATACTTGCACAACGAAAATCACTGGATGTATTTGTACCTAACAAAGACATTAATGTTTTTCAGTGCGTAAATTAAAACATACCACTCATGAAAAACATAATCTACTTGAGTTCAATTGCACACGTAATGACAGCCTTTGCAACATGGAAGTATGACAACCTGAATTAGGCAACTTTGGCTCAGTTGTGTTACACTTGAACTTGTTCGCACCTTGAACGACTCAGGGTGGGGGAAAAATACTACTTTTTGAGAAGCCTTCCAGAATCGTTGTAGTGCGCGGTTTGATTCAAGTAGGATCTGGTTTTTCATGTGAGCAGGAAATTCAACATTTTCGTCACCATATCTTGATTGGGTGTTGATTTCAGTAATTCTTGTCGAATTGTATTGTAAGTGAAATTCTGTAGAGGAATCATACATTGGGATGCTTAAATTCGTACCTTGCCCAGTGGTCCATTAATGGTTCAAAGCTGGCCTGCGTCAAAGCAATTTTGAAATATTCCTCAAAACATGAGATGACATCTTACTAGCCCTCAAATAGATGTTAGAGACTCGATGAAAAAATGAAGGAAGAAGAGAATCATGACCCGTTCTTACATTCATGATGTTTGTTTCCTGCAAGGAAAGCTCAATTTTACCTTTGATTCTCCTTCAAACCTAATTTCATTTTTATCAGAAAGAATTATTTATTATTTTTAATGTACATTTAAGGCATTTTAGGACACTATTGCAGATATTCAATGAAAGTTGTGGTTGGAGATTAACAATTAAGATGTATTTCCCGAAAAGCAAGAGAATTTTTAGTTGAAGGACAGGAACTCGCAGCTGATGAAAACTTGATCTTCATGTTTAGTCTCATTTTTAAACAGGATCAATGAAGTTGTACCAACTCTTTATCATATTTTGTGCCAAGAATTTGATTTCATAGTTATCGTAACTCTCATTTTCCCAAATTCTCTGATTCTTTTAGCATAAGTATAGAGGGATCACACTTGCAATCAGTTTTCTAAGACTGAAGTATGATTTTTCTAGAGCTGAAGCTCTCAATTTTATCTTCGGAACTAATTGACCTTGCTCAAGTACCCCATACTATCAAATTATTTTTGTAATGGAGGCATTTTTCCATTGTGGTCTCTCTTCTTCTGATAAATTGTTTGCAATTTTTTTTCCTTCTGTCTTCTTGTATAATATTCGTATACCTTGCCCTGGGATTAATGATAATGGAGAAAATTGTCTTCTTCTTTTCCATTTAAAGAACTACAATTCATTTTACCATTCTGGTCACTTTTTACATTGTTAATGGTTATTGTACTTAAAAGCAACGAGATTACCAAGTATATTTTTCTGTTTTATTTTTGAATGTCCTGCTTTCCAATTTTCTAATTGCAGGGTCTCTCGATCCTTCTTGCCGAATAGGTACATTTGTTAGCTTTTCTTGTGCCAAGGAAGAACGCCACACAAGTCTCCTAATGTTGCCAAATTTCCTCTCAAAAAATATTTATTTTTAAAAAAATAATGAATATTTTTCCTTGTTATTTTTGGAATATTTGGGTCAAATTACAAACGAAATCCTCTGAAAAATTGGAGGAAAAATATTCATTAATATTCCCGAAAATTCATGATTTGTCAAAGGAAATTTGGCAACGCCTGAAGGCTCATACAGCGTTTTTCCTTAGCATGGCAGAGCTTTGATCTGATTCTGGTACTTGTTAACTTTCCTATCTTATTTTTTTTTTCTTTAATTTCAAGCCTATTTTTCTCTTGAATGAAAAATTGTTTTTGGTTTTTCCTTATCAGTGGTGGCTTCTATTAAGCATACTCATATAATGGCTGATTAGAGGCTTCTGATGGTTTATTTAATCTTTCTCTAGCCATAATAATTGGAGTAATTTTGTTTTTTAATTATTCTTTTTTTCCTTTCTCCAAACACCTGCAGAAAGTAATTCTGCGTCCAGATTCACATCCCCCTGCAATTCTACTTCATCATAAGCCTCAGGCATTTGTCATCTGAGACCACCAAACTGAGGTTGTCTCAACAGGAGTCAAACCTGGAATCCTCTGATCTTGGGCCTTGTCCATATGAGCAATGGTTCGCAAACTTTTCAACTGCATCGTTTTTTGCCTTTTTTTTGAGCGCAGGCCGAATAAGTCATAACTTAGCTGTAACTTATTCCCCCAAAGTTCCAAGAATTCTGCGCATGTGAACATAGCCCCAGCGCCATAATATGAAAACGAAGCCTCTTACATAGATATTGCAAGAAAAAACTTGGAAAGCAGAACAAAATAGCAGCATCAATTATGGACCCTCTCTTGGTCTTTCCAAGTGTTGTATTACATGAGACAAGTTGCCTCTTGGTTTCTTTTCGTCCTATTATCAAAAAGTATTTACAGGGTTGCCACAGTCAGGGAAAACCTGGAAACGTCAGGGAAAATGATGAAAGTGTTCAGGAAAATTTGTTGAGTCACCTTTACTTGCTTTCTAGGATGGGTTTGACGTTTCAAACAACAAATGTGGCCTGAAAACCTTTTAAAATTATGTCTTTTCAACCATCTGGCACATCTTCAATCGGCAGGGAATTTCACCAAAATTTGGCCGGGAAATGTTAGGAAAATTCATTTTCTAAATTCTGCGGGAACCCTGTATTTACTTTGAGAAACTACCTGGTCATCAGTTGCGGGTTGTACTCAGTCTCTGGAGGAAAGACACTCAAGCGTGACGATGAGGATTATCATGAAACTCTATTAACTGATATTCTTCTCTCCTCGCCATAAATGTTTTCTTTTATTTTTTTTATTTTTTTTGTTAACCTTTGTTATATTATCCCGCAGTAGTAATGAGCAACACGGCAACTCAAACAGCAATATAATCGGTGCCGAAAGCGGACGCCCGCCACCGGAGAAGCAATTAATGCCGCCCCCTCCCCCTCCTGCTTCTGGGGTGCCAGGTTTGTAATCACCCCCAACATTATATCTTTCAAATGGTTCTGTACTTTTCTTTTCATTTTTCATCTCATTGCTTTTATTCTAATGTCTTTCTCTTACATTACAATTCCATTCATCTGCCAAGACCAATTTCTCATTTTGAAAATTGAATTGAATTGAATTGAATTGAATTAATTCTATTTTAGGTAATTGCTATAAAGTGCAGAAAGTTCCCAATTTAGCGTTTCAAGGATCATGGTAGACAAGGAAGCAAAGTGAAGGTTTCGAGACCAATTTCGAAATGTGGCAATTTTCTATACCTGGAAAAGTTTGGTCGGAATTTTGAAAAAACTGGAATTTCGGGGAAAATTTTATGGAAATCGAACATTGTGGCCTTGCAGAAGAAAAGTAAGATCAGAGCTAAAGGCCAGTGTCTTGAAACTTTCTTTATTCTCTCCATATTTTCAATTATCACGTTGTTCTTTAATCTATTATACAGCAAATTTTTTAAGTCGCTTGAAAAAAATCTGCCCGGGTCAATAAGATGATTTTATAAAATGACCTTAAATCAATGCAGGCAATTGCTCTTTGTTGCTGATAGTAGATTCAACTTCTTTTACCTGTTTTTTGGGGTGAGAGGGCTATTAGCTTGTCTGAAAGGATAGTCTTGAATAACGTCAAGAACCCGATCATACTTTGGTAGTATCTTAAGAGAAAAACTCTTGAAATTTTGCCTTAATATTTGTCTCTTATGTTTGACACTGGACGTGTCAATTCCCCAGATGAACGAAGAGGCAAACCAGTGTTTGAAGAAGCTGTTCGTTCATTAAGTTACCCTAGAAGTGGGGTTTTTATTATCACCCTCCTCCCCTCTCCAATGCAACTCTGAATCCTCCGAATAATTTATCATGGAAACCGGCTGGTAGTCTGTAATGAGAAGGCAAAAATGTTTAAAACAATTGATAAAATGCTCAAGGATGAGATGCTTTGAACATTGTACATTTACATCCCTTCTAAATAGAGAATCAATGAATAGAATTTTTGTTTTAATATTGCAGCATTTACAAGACAAGATTGACTTTTAATTCAGGTGTAAAGTCGGAAAAACAAAACCCCTTATGAAGCACCCATTATGCAAGTGCAGACTCCTCCATTATTATACTAGCAACTTAATTTCTATAAATCACAATTTCCTATTAAAAAATGCTACTAAACTATTAGATCTTTACTTAGTCAAAATATTGACAGGAATAGAATCTGGACCGACCGAATCATTCCAGTTTTCCCCTATCGGCTGGATTACAGATTGAGTCCAAGGCTTTTTGTGTTTTATTTGAGTTTTCTGAACTAATTTACTAAATTGATAATTTGTACAAATTCCCTCTGTCATGCAGGTGTGCAATGTACTAATTAATTCTTCCTTTCAGGTACAGTTCTGAGAACGGAAATGTCTTCATGTTTTAATTCCTTTTTTTTTTTGTTGATTATCATTCTCTTCCTCACATTATTTCGATTGTTTATTTTTTATTACTTTTTTTTTTCCTGTCCACTACCATCTGTTGAAGTATTGAACTCAGTCATTGTACATTTTAGAAAAACTAATGTGTCAGGATGTGTCTGCTTAAGTTTATCTGCAGGAACTTGAGTTCTCTCTGAAGCTTTGAAAAAAGGCTAAACCTTGATCCAAAGTGGTGTATGCAATAAAAGAAAGAATTATGCAATAACAGAAACGAGTGCCTCCTCATATTTAGGAACTACAAACTTACTCCAATAACATACACACTGTTTTGGCGGCTGAAGTCGAAAAATGCACATCACTGAGTGCAAGGTCCATCTGCTGTTCATGTATTATTATTTTTTCTCAGGAAACTGATCAGCCAGGCCACTTGAAATTTTCCATGAATTTGTTTTTTTATTCAAATGTATTCACGGAAAATATCAAGGTAGTATGTTGGTTTATTTCCTCTTAGGGTTTTAAACCTTACAATAAAAACACATTTTTCGAACTTGGATATCAATACGTACTTTTCTATTTGAAAAGTATCTTAAAATTAGGTAAAATAATGAGGCTACAGTTGGAATAGATTGAGATCTTACCCAGTATCTGTAAAGCCCAGTACCGAGTAAGTAAAAAAACTTGAACGCTGGAGCTCATTTCTTTCTCAGTATTTCAGTTTTAAGTTCATTTGTGTCAGAGCTTCTTTTAAATTTTTCATTTCTAAACACGTTTTTCACACAATCACAAAAATACTTCTCTACTTTCTTTATATATTTTACTTAGATATTATGCTGTGTGTTCAAGATGACGCATACCAGACTTTCGCATTGGTTACTTCTGCTGTGCGAAGGAGTTTAATGAGGAGCAACCCCAAAGCATCTTAATTTTAAAGGTCTTAGGGTGCTGAATTCAAGCGTTCAGTGAACTCTTGGGCATTATTACATACACATCTCCAATAAATAACTAACTAATTGTTGAAGAGTTTTGCATCATCTTATATATGTCCAAGACACAGACTCTCAAATGTAGAAAGTCATTAATGCAACTCTGAGATTTCAGATTGCAATAGCAAGAAATTTATATCTCATGGGTCTGAAATCCCCATAAATCCCCTTTACGGTCCTCCAGGAATTTTGGGTAGCTCAAAATGGTGCTTCAGCCTTAACTAGAATGAGACCCATTGAGTTGGTAGACTTACCTGAGTGTGATGGCAGCTTGGTACTGATCGTTCATAGCAGATTAGTTCAAAATTTGCTCCAAGACCACTGAAAGAAAAAAAGGTAATGAGGTATTTGTTGGGATTTGAATAATGTCATTAAATAATAACATATAGATACTGAAAGGATAACTTTATTGTATTTTTATAGAGGAGCACACAATTCTAAGGCAGTTACCAAGGAAGAAAAAGAGGAGCCAAACTCATATCAACATAATTTAGTTAATTAAAAAAATAATATTTAATAGCTGATTTTTCAATAAAATATATACTTGGTTAATTGCAAGATTTCCACGCCACGCCTGCTCTTATAAATTTAAAATCTTTAGTAGTTTTCAACCTATATGGGTCATTTCAAAGCTATTCATCATTCAGTTTTTAAAATTTGGGCAGCAGTCAAATTTTCAGTTTGAATCAATGCGTCGCCAACAAGGAACAATATATTATATAGTCTAGAATTATCAAGCTCACTTTAATAAAGGCAAAAATCAAGATAAGAACGCATGAAGGCATTGTCAGTCATAAAATTATGAGCGTGGTCGTACCAATCTTGGGGAGATTCGTTGGTCTATGCATAGCATTCTGAAGCTTTAAAGCTGAATTCTTATTACCATTTAGACCTTGAAGAGGCTCAGTAGGAATTCAGGACCTGACATCACTTTTCAAGAATACCGCTTTGAATTATTCTATTATATCTTTATTGGTTGTCATGATGAGCATCAAATGCATTAGACCCTCGATTGTACCAGTTTCCTTCTGTACATTTATTGCTACCTCTGGTCCCTAAATTTCCTCACCATCTTTTTTATTGTCTGCGGTAGTTTGATTGACCTCGATTATTATTTGTACGCTAGTTCTGATTCTTGCTGTTGGCTGTTGCCGCACCAGTTCTGATTGTCTCCGTTAGTGCCTTTATTTCTCCGTGCATTGTAGTTTGATCTCCCAAGTGCGGGCTGGTAAGGGCGTCGTCCTATATTTGCACTTTCTTTGATGTGAAATTAAATTAATTGCTTTGTTATATCCTCAGCCAGATTCGTTGTCTTTAAGAAATCCTGTTTGAATCTTTGATTTCACTTATTCAGTACCTATCTTCTCTACAGCGAGCTTTGTCACTATCCACAAATTTTTAAAAAATAGTCAAAACCATGCCTAACTCCCCAACCAAGAACCTCTGCTACCATGATAGGATTTGAATGATGTCATTTAATAATAACTCTCAGATACTTGGAGGATAAATTTATATAACCTCCTTACAGGGAAGCACACGATTCTAAGGCTGCTTGATCTGAGCCGCTTGACGAAGAACAAGAAAAGGTCAGGCAGTAAAACTTGAAGCCAAACTCTTTCCCACATAATTGCATTTTCGATGAGATGGTTGAAGTATATATTTAACAGTATTAAAATGTGAACGTGCAGCACAGTTTCGATCGGTGTGTCATAAAGTTTGCCTGCTTTTGATACCATCTTGGAACCATAAGTTGAGCTCATTCATGAAAAGGAAAAGGCAACTATTGAAGAAGTAACCCCGAATGAAATATATTTGAAGAATATTATTTGCTAAGCATTTCTTGTCCATTCTTTCCTTTCGACTGAGATTCAGCTATCAAACATCATTTGTAGGCAACTGTATATTTTTGTGCATAGTAGTGATATCAAGCTTATACACGTATTCTTTATTGTTTTTTTGTTTTAATTTCTTTGGTCGGTCTTTAAAATAATGTAGGAATAATCAACCGATTCTTTTTTTCAGGTTTTTACACGGATAGTAACTTTTGTTCTGCTTGAAAATGTATTTATATTGTATCTTGGCTCTTTTTTCTACCTTTACTTATTTCCACAATTTTCTCTTTTTTTACAGATAACTGGAAAGAATCATCCCAAAAATCATCAGTATCAGTACATGGTGAGCTATGACTTTTTCTGTTTTTTTTTATTTCAACTTTTCATCACTGTCTCTAGGCAGAAGAGTTTTAGTCACTTTTACTGATCGAACTCAAGTGATCTTCATAATGGTTGAATTTTAATTTGCAATAAGGAATAGAGTTGCCAGGTTATGTGATTAAATTAAAATATTTTACATGAGTTTGAACAGGGACAAGAGCTGATTTTTCACCACTATTTAAAAACAATTGTTGTCATGTCGTGTGATAAAATGTGGATATTTTACATGGGTTTAAATGGGGAAAAATACAGGTTTTTCAGCACTATCTGGAAAGTACGATTGGAAATGCCTATTTTCTACTCATCCATAAACACACCTCTCTGCATAAGGAAAGTAAAGGCACATAATACGTTGTTTCTATAATCAAAGTGAAAGAGGAGGGAAAAGGACAGGAAGCAGAAGAAAAATTAGATTGGGGAAAAGAAACTGCAGCATTTGTTTGTGTTTTAACATGAATAGCACTCACATTGATTTTAAAGTGAGTCTTAAATATTAGTTCTTAACTGCAAAATGCAGTCCATATCAGGTAGCTTCGTATCGGTACCACCCATTCATTTAATTTAATATATACTTTCAATCTTCAGTGCTTCTTTTGAGCATTAAACTAAATTTTCAAAAACAGAGTTATGTCTCATTAATTTTTTCTGTGTTCAATTTACAGGAGATGGAAAGCCTGAAGCCAAAAGAATGCGTCCAAACCATGGTAAGTAAAATTCCTCTTTCGGCTGGTCTATTCTAGTCAGGGCTCTGGTAGCTACATAACACCTTTCGTCAGTGGCGATCAATTTGGCCTCACAGTCGTTTCGCCGATTTTATGGTAAAATTCTAGACATCATGATGAAAGTGAGATCTGGCACCACTTTTTTATGATACATAGGTTGTCCCAAATGTACTGCACGTTTTTTTTTTTTTTGAACGAACGGTAGTAGATATCAAAATGCGGTTTGTGTAGTCTTAAAGACCGGCCAATTACCGATAAAACAAGACAAATCCGAGCTCTTTAAGTCAAAAAATGACCAAGTTACAGTGTTTTGAAAATGACTTGTAGAAGGGACCCCTACAGGATTTTCAGCTTCTTTTCTGGAAAAAACAAAGATTTGATTAATCAAAAATTCTACAGAGAAATTGTCGGGGTCGAATAAAGTTGGCAACATGGTATCAGCCCGGACCTTGCACCCTGCGATTTTTGGGTATTCCCTTCGTTGAAAAAGGGCTTAAGAGGCAGGAAATTTAACTCCATCAACGAGATAAAAAGAGCTGTTGAAACTTTCTTAAAGAACATCAGGGAAGAGGAATTCGAAAAAACATGTTTGAAGAAGTGGGAAGAACGGTTGCGGCGCTGTGTGGCAAGTTATAGAAGGTATTTCGAGAAGGAAACTAGTGTCCAGTGGTCCAGTGAAGAAGAGTAAATGCTAGTAATCTTGGTAAGATTCTGCAAAATTGATTTAATAAAACCACTTGAATCCTTAATTCTTTGTTTTTTTTCCAGAAAAGAAGCTGGAAATCCTGTTGGGGTCCCCTCTACAAGTCATTTTCAAAACACTGTAACTTGGTCATTTTTTGACTTAGAGAGCTCGGATTTGTCTGCTCAGTCTTTAAGACTACATGCATTTTGATATCTGCTACCGTTCGTCCAAAAAAAAAACATGTGCAGTACTTTTGGGACTACCTATGTATAAATGATAAATAAAAAATTCATCATTTTTCAGAGTTGCTACATTCAGGGAAAACCTTGAAATTTTAGGGAAAATCATGAGCGTGTCAGGAATAAATTGTTAAGTCACCTTCATTTGCTGTTTAGAATATGTTTGAAGTTTCGAACAGATTTTGCCCAAAAATATTTCAATTTATTTCTTTTAAACCATCTGGCATATCTTCAATCATCAGGAGATTTCACATAACTTTGGCAGTGAAACGTCAAGGAATTTCATCCCCGAAACTCTGTGGTAGCCCTGTTTTTGCAAATTGCCTCACGCTTGCCACTAACCCAAGATCCTAAGATGGCGTATTTTCTGCATCCTAGGTTTAGTTAGAGCCTTTATACTGAGAGTTAAGACAACACCCCCTCATGGATTCACAAACGGGAATAAAGATTATACAAATCGAATGTTTTTGTAATCTTTGATCGGCTCATTCTCAAATTCCTTTCTCCGTTTCTTCTCTCATTCCGTTTGTTCCTTGTCGAACCTGTAATTCCTCGGTATATTCCAGATTATAATCTTTGCAATTGGTGAAAATGTAATCTTAATTCCTGTTTGTGACACTGTGGAGGCCTAAAATACAGTAACCAATCAGAGATGGATTCACATTGTCTTAACTCTCAGTGTAAAGGGACTCTAGGTTTAGTAAAATGATTAAGCTAATGATTAGTTGTAAACGTTTGACAGGTGCTTTCAGCGACAGTGATAGCGGAAGAGGAGTGGATCGGCCGACGTACACTCACTATTCGTCAAAGCCTCAGATGTACAACAATCAAATGCCTTTTCACATGCAGGGGCTGGGGATGTGCCCGCCTCCACCACCCCCTCCCCCATTACCGCTGGACGGAGCCTATCAGCAGCAGGTAAAAATCAACCCTCAAAATTATTCTTCAATCAATTTTCTATGCTCTGTATACATCCCAAATAGCAGTGATCGCAATAAATAACGATTTCATCACTTGCTTATCGCGATCATATTGCTAGTAATATGTCTAGATATTATCGTATTAAAAATTGCAACACGTGGCGATTAAATCGCTTCATATCGCAATTTTTGGTTTGATAAAATCGATATCAATTTTCATTGATAAAATCGAGATTAAATCGCCATTTATCGCCATTTTTATTTCGAAAATATCGCGATAAATTTTTGGGCAATAAAAGTGCGATTTTATAGCGATAAAATCGAGTATAATCGCGATAAAATCGAGTATAACCACTTAGATGTCGATGATCCTAGCGATTTTATCGCCGATAAAATCGCAATGTATAGCGATTTTTCTTTTGAGAAATGCTACTTGCGATAATAACTTATCAGCGAATAGTTAAATTTTTACAGGAAAGAAACGGTGCTCCCCCATTGTCACAGTTTTTTTATTTAACCAAATACAGCAGGCTGATTGTTGAAATTGATAGACAAAGGAGACATAGGGAGTATGGAGCAATCCTTTCGGTTGAAATGGTTGGTTCCTATGGACTAAGGGAGAAAATGATGGACTTATTATAGGGTCTCTTGTCGGTTGCCGTAAGTTAGTCTATTATCTATCTTCTTTGTCCATTGCAACCACCCGCATCTATCAATAGGATCCCTTTTTTCTTCTTTGTCCATAGCTTTGTCTATCAATTTCAGCAATCAGCCTGCTGTGACTTCTAATGGAATCTCACTGGAGGGAGAAATTTTTCCAGTTTCCATCATGAGTAGATATATTGGATCGAGCTGGGGTGAAAAAAAATAAGAAAGAAGCAGTTTTCATGTGCCTATATTGTGCCTTACTTTTGGTGCAATTGAAACTGATGATTGGTTAATTTTTTAGCTATAGTCTATTTCATGAAACCTGAGACTTTTTATTCGGCATTAAAATCTGTAAATGGCAACGCATCAGTCTTGGACTTGAGTGATCGGATCGCTCGCCGGACAACCTCTTTTGTTCAGCGACCATAGGCCGACAACCCATCCATTGTGAGGGTAGGAACAATGGGCACTCTTCATCCCTTCTTAATGAGCCCTAGTACCGGAACCGAAATTTTTTTCTCGCTGAAAAATTCATCTTTTGGCGTGAAAATTTTGTTCCATCGTGAAATTTTGATAAAACGCACTAAAATTCCGTCCAAGTATCTTAATTTTGAGCTGATATATGGCATATGCGTGTGACTGCGATTTGCTGAGAAATACCGTAAGGTCAGCTCAAAATTAAGATACTTGGACGGAATTTTAGTGCGTTTTGCTCATAATTTCACGCCAAAAGATGAATTTTTCAGCGAGAGAAAAATGTTGGTCCGGGTACTAGGGCTCATTCTGAAGGGATGAGGGGTGCCCATTGATTGTACCCTCACAGTGGACGGGTTGCCAGCCAATGATCGCTGAACAAAAGAGAGTGTCCGGCAAGCGATTCGGTCACCCGAGGCCGAGACTGATGCGTTGCCTTTTACGGATTTTAATGCCGAATAAAAAGTCTCAGGTTTCGTGAAATGGACTATAATACTAGCCAGTTTGCCCTAACATGCTGAATTTTGTTTGTAAAAAATTCCCTATGAGGAAAATTAAAAAAAGTATGTGCAAATTTGCAATTATTGAAACAATGGTGTATCATTCTGTTTAAAGTGTATTTTTCCAATGATATTGGAAAAATTACTTGAGAAAAAAATCAAGTTCTAACTTTTTCGTGGCTTTGTCAGCTTTTTTCTTCTAATCACATAATAATTATTCGAGAATCGATTATGCATCAATAATTCATTTTCTTCAGTAGCTGACAATGAGTTCATCATTCAATGCATTCCCTTAATTAGTTGCTCATTTCCCTACATTTTCTAGTACATTCTCTAGAAAAACTCTGTTTTTGCATCTAAGAGGTTTTTTTATACTCACCTCCTTTTTTTTACGTCACCTTGCAAATCTGTAGAATTAGAAATAATTTCTGCCAAGAGTGATTTTCTCCAATTAGCAGCGTTGTAAGGACCAGATTTCTTGGATGACGTAAAATTTAAAGAGAAACAGGATGGTGTGTCAAATTTCGTCTGACATCAACTTCCAAACTCAAATATAGCAAATCGAAGGAACACCATTTGAAAGAAGGATAGTCCATCTATATCTTCAGTTAAATTCTCTTTACAGAGATGGGGCTGATTAATTTGGTTCTCACTTTTAAGATGTAGTCCAGTTGTCACTCTGTGTCGAGACTTTAAGCATCAAAAAAATAATTTTTAGTTCTCAATCATCGTATCTCCTCAGGAAAGAGAGACCAGTTTAGTGGCTTAGTCCCTGTATAGATATTTAGTGTATTGATATGCTTCATCGCTCTAATATAGGCGTAACCTCAAATTCAAGAGGAAGTCCAACCAAAATTTTGAGTAAGAGCTAGCATTGAAGTTGTCATCAATAAGTCTTAAATCAATTTTTGACTGAAAAGTTTGATCGCCACAAAGACTTGGATGCGTTTACCATTCAGCATAAGTACAGTGAGGTTATTTCGCTCATTTGCTCAGTTACTTTGCTCATTTCACCATTACTATCACTAAACAGCAATGTTCGTATCAATGGTGAAACTGCAGGATCGTGTTTCTCGGTTGACGACGTTTTAGAGTTTCTGTAGTGCTTAATTTTTTTATGAAACTTTAAAACTTTCCAGATGTTTCTTCCGTGTGTAAAAAATATTCCCATACCCTTCTGTATTTGCAAATTTCAAGCCCTAGTGTTGGTGTGTTCTATTTTGATGAAATAAAATTGGAATGGAAATGGTATTGGTAAATGGTAATGGTAATGGAATGGAATTTCATATTACCACCAATAAGATACATGTTTCTGCAGTTTCTCTATTGACATATTGAATTACTTAGCCACTAAATCAGTCTATTTGACTGTGGGGAATCTCTGGCTTTCCTAGCCTTCCTCAAAAACGAAGGTAACGATTGATATTCCTTTCCCGTGATTTTTTTTTTATGCTCAAATTCTTCATTACAGGTGAGCTTCAGTTCGTCAAATGATGGAGCGGGGTATCAAAATGCAGCACAGCAGCAAGCGCAGATGCCACTTCAGCAGTCAGCTCCATCTCCTGGGAACCACCAATCACAGCCGCCTCAACCACAGCAACAGCAGCAGCAATTGCAACAACCGCAGCAGCCCCCGCCACCTCAGCACCAAGATCAGCAACAACAGCAGCAGCAGCAGCAACAACAACAGCAGCAACAACAACAGCAGCAGCAGCAGCAGCATCAACAACAATCACAACAACAGCAGCACCATCAACAACAACACCAACATTCCCAGAACTATCCTTATTGGATGAACCAGCAATGAAATAATGATGTGTCAAGGAAAATGTTTTGTACAGCCATTTGTCAAGGAATCTAGAATCTGAGAAAACGTGAAGTACGAGGATTCATTAGAGAATGAAGAAGCTCGAGAGAACTGAGGTAATTCATGAAGGAACCTACACTAAGAACTGGAGTATTTTGTCTCTAGCTGCTCCAAAACCCCTTTTTCTTTAGTGGTCGTCTCTTTATTTTTGGCTTCAAAAAATTTGCCATAAAAATGGACAAATTTAGAGAATCTTTGAGAGAATTCAGCGAAATAAGTGGCGAGATCTGTGAAATTCAAGAGAGAATCAAGAAGCCGAAACATTCAAGAATTTTGGATGCTGCGTTTTTAAAAAGTAGCAGTATCCAAATCTCAAGATTCATAATCAGTCTCTTCATCTAAAGTAAGTCGTGTGTAAAAATACATTCATTAAATCACGAATCTGTGTATGAATGACAGTTTTGCCTTTTCTGAAATGAAACAAGAAAGGCGGCTTTTTTTATCGAAGCAGTCCAGTTGGGCATGAAGTTGTCGGTTTTGTGATGCATGATTAAAAATCATTTAACTTTAATCCATCTCTTTTTCATCTACAAATTGAAAGAATGAACAAAAATTAGGAAGATCGATCTGGAAATTCTTTGTAGATGTTCCGCAAATTCTCTTAAGTTAGTTCTTGTTACTTGGATTTTAGTTGTTTGAAAGCAATAATTTTACTCTGATTCATCCAAGGACTGGATTGTACTGTATGCTTAAACAAATTTTGAATCAAGTGAAATTTAAACATAGAAAACTCCATTTCTGATCCTTTGTTGAAAAGCAAAATTGGTTGTTGATTCATTTGAAAAAAAAGGAAAATCTTGTCTTTCAAATAGTCAGTAGTTATAAAGTATCATTCGTGATCTAAAATCAAATGTAATTATTTTGAATTTTTAGGATACATTTTTATGTACAGATGTACAGACAGAACCTTCATGCAATCTGTCAATTAAATCATTTGTTTCTTGAACGAAATTTGATGTGATTTAATTTTGAATTTTTGAAGCTTGCTCGGCCTCAGGCAAGCCATAAGCAAGTTTTTTTACCGTTTTGACAACATTTTTGCAAGATACCTACAGCATCCATAGTCTGAGCTGTAAGTAATAAACTTGTGCCTCAGTTTTATGAGGCAAAATTAAAGAAGAAAATTTTTCGTTTTTAAGACTTTTCATGTTTTAAATTATGCCTAAACCCAAAAGAAAATTCTCAATTTGACCAATATCTTCTCTACGTGATACAATGTAAATTTGTACATGTGTACTACCAATGTTTTGTAAATATCCTTGTAATATTTGTACTCTTTCTTTTTGAAAATAATTTGTGATACTTCCTTGTAGGGTTTTCTTTTTGTTTTAAAAAAATAAATCGAATAATTTATTAAATCATTTGGTTTGATATCTTCATCTCCTTGTTTCAATTAGTATTATTAAGATATGTTCATTTTTGCCATCATTTTATCCATATTTTCCTTGGTTTGTCACTCTGCCAGTCCACTCGCACTTTCATATCTTACTTGGTAGAGTTACTTAAGTACTAATATTTAGAACGGTTCTGGAGACAGCAGCAGTTTTTTTTTGGAACTATTGATCTATAGGTACAGGTACATTTTGTTCCGTTAAAAATTAAAAATTGAGAAGTTTTAAATATGTGCATAAGCTTTGAACTTAAATTTTTTTCCAGGTGAGTGAATTCTGGTTTATGGAATCAGTTTGATCCAATGTGTTAGAGCATATCGACGGTGAAACTACCAAACCACGTATCTCGGTTTGCGACGTCGCAGTCTTCCTGTCATACTTTATTTTTTAAATGAAAAACTACTTAACGTCTAGTCTTGAAAATTTATGTGATTTTTCCTCTTTGTGCGGAGAAAATTCTGTGAAAATTTCAAGGAATGATATTGATTTGGTCGACTTCAAAAAAATGAAATGCGAGCGTAGATTTTTAAACACCGCAAACGAGATACGTGGTTTGGTAGTTTCACCGTCGATATGGAATGGGCCTCAGCAGGGTAGCATAATCTATCAATGAATCTATCTATTTATTGACCTAATTTATTTATGAGCCAGCAGAAGTCAACCATCAAATCAGGAAAAAAATGAGTTTACGTGTGGAAAAAGGAGTCAATGATCCTATTATGTCAAAATGAAGTTCAAATGGCTTACTTAAGTAAAAAAATCGATGTCTCCAATAGAGATAACGGAGTGTTGCTTATGTTTTCCTACATTTTCTCTTGAAATTTTCAGTGAATTTTCTTCACCCTTTCATAAGTAGCTCCAGAAAATTTTTAGGGAATATTAGGGAATACCTATTGTGTTTTGTTCCTTGAAAGAAATAAAATATTTCGAAATGTTGCAATCACAATGGAAATAGTCAGTTTGACTTCAGCCATCGAATGACTTCTTCACCGTTATATTGGAAATTTTGAAACACCGCAACGGACTCGCGTCTTTTTCTTTATTCTATGATCGATTTTCAGGTCGATTGAGGTTGTCTTACGGATTACTCATTCGCAAAAATTCATTATAGTTTTTGGGCAAATGAAGCGAAATTTCAAATTGCGCGCCATCAAAGTCTGAATTCACCGTACAACGTTGGTAGAAGCCGGGCTGCCGGGTTAGTTATTTGAGGTTAGGTTAAGTCTCTGCTGTCTGCTCTTGTGCTGTTGTCTACAATACAATTGAGTTAATTGAGTTTTTGTTCTTTTACTTTTCCTGTTAGTCCTCACAATTTTTTTGAATTTGACTTCACTCGATTTTCCAGAAAAGGTATAACTCGTCTCACATAATGGTTTTCCCAGGAATGGCTCTTCTCCAAAGAGCCAAAGGTCCAGATTCATTCTGGAAGAAACGAAGACTCTTCCGCCTTACAGCTGTAAGTGAACATTTTACTCTCAATCGATCAATCTTAATTAACAAATAAGGCGCTTTTTGGTTGAATTTCAGCAACTAACACTCTAATTATCTTCTACTGAGGTTTAGAGTTTNGAAGAGATCCATTTCTGTCTCTGTGCAAAACGATATCTGAAGTGACACACAACAATCCCACTTAAGACAACATGTGATAGACATCTACTTATTTTGTAATTGAAATTATGTCTCAAGTAAATTCATAAGTTACCTTAAACATAAGATTTTTTTCCACTGTTTTCTGACAAGAAAGAAGTGTCATTTTTTGTTATTTGGAATACGTTTAATTTTATAAATTTGTTATATTAAAATTGAATCATGGTGCAAATAATTGTTTTACATCCCCAAATCATAAACTCCTCAACCTGTACGAAATTATGAACATTTCTCAAATTAACCGCCCCAAAAACATACAAATGAAAACGAAACCAACTCCTAAAAGGTATCTGAAATGATGAATTTTTCAAATTAACCGCCCCAAAAACATACAAACGAAAACGACACCAACTCCTACAAGGTACCTTTCATAGCCTTTCCATGCAGTCCGAGTACCGAACTCCTATGGAGTACCGTTCATGGACTTTCCATGCAGCCCGAGTACCGAACTTCACCCCAGGAATTTGTAGTGATATTTGTCCTGGCATCAGTGATCCCAAGTGCGCTGATTTTTCTGCACCGCGTGGACATTCCCTATACTAACACGGACAGTGTGCGGACAAAATAATTTTGGGAAAACGCCTCCCTATCTTAAAATATCCGTACCCGTCACATCACAGAATGAGGCAGCAGCACGGAGAGCGGTAGAGCGTACTGATCTTGCACACAGAGCATCCAGGAACACTGCCTGGCATATATCCTGCATACTCCAGTGCAGAACATTTCAGAAAGCATGTACACTACTTGATGGATTACAAGGACTTTTTTTCATAATCAGTTCACCAAACTGTAGTGAACTTCGGTCTGTGCTTTCGTAATGATCTGTAGAGCCAGCAGGATTTAGTATCAGTGATCAATGCTAATTGATGAATTTTTTGCTACAATTCACCCCTGGAAAACCTAACCACTATCAAATCAATGTAAATAAGGAGGGATTGATCTGAGGCATCTGTGTACTTATGTGGTGACGGATTAAGTAAGCACCACAAGCAAGGTCGGTAGACCAAGGTCAGTCCATCAAAGAGATGTTCTTTGGAATCTTTCAATCTTGCAACGAATTCCTCGGATCTGCTGTTTCACAAACTTACCAAACGTTTCCCTGCTTTGTGCTGCTCGGTTTCATAGCTCCCCTTAGTTTGCATGCGACCAATGTAATCTGATTCGGGGGAACAGCAGAGGAGAAAAGCAAATCTGGGGAATCAGTTAGCAACACGGAAAGCCCTTGCCGCCATTATTATGCAAAGATTATCATACTCTACTTTCCTAACGGACTAACCCAGGTCTATCATCCTTGACTGCAGGAGGATTCGCCAATCAATAATAGGAATCCCCTCTTGTACCATGTGCCAGACATCCTGGGAAAAACTCTTCTCAGACTTTCAGTCAGTAGATTGGGTACTAATGAGATCATGAATGTGATAAACCTCTAATTGATTATGTCGTTTTCCAAAAGACTCATCCTTTTTGTCTGGCCATATATATAATAGCAATTTTGGTACCTATGTGTTTGTGGAAGCAAATAAAAAAGATAAAATTATCAGGAAAGGAGTCTACCAGCTTTAAGAGGTATCTAGAGCAGTAATCATAAACTGGTCTTATTCATATGGTTCCAAAACTTTTCTAATATATTACTGCATTTTTTTTTTCAGCATTTTCGAGGCCGAAACCGAAATGTTTGGACTTTAGTATTGCGTAACGTAAAACGTGCACTGGTCCGCGCTACAAAAGGAAGGATTCAGAGGAAGAAAGATATGCATGATGTAAGTTGCATTTTGTGCTGAAGAATGTTTTATGTTGTATTACTGACAATGAAAGTACAAAGTGACTAACTTTAGTTGGGGCGTCTTAAAATCTCTGCCCCCTCTTTCTGTAAATGAGAATCACTCATAAATGCTGCCCAAAATTTTCATAGAATAAGTTCTTGAGAAGTGGAAGGAAAATCACCTGTGAATTTGTACAATATCTGTCATCTGTCATCCCTGAGCCTAGTATAATGTGCAGAAAATCTACAACATCACTGAGACAAGTAGTTTATCAGTTTCACTTTCACCGTTGTTATTTTATTTTCTGTAATATATACCTGTGCCCAATGCCAGATGGCAATTGGACTTTGCAAATTCACCAAGGCTTTAGTTGAAGGTGTGAGTCTCTCAAATTCAGCCTAATAATGCAAGTGACCAGCGGATTTTTACCAACTAAGTTATTTTGGTAGGTTTTACAGGATGAACTTTATAGGGCTATTTAAAAATTGGTGAAGAAAAAATTTTATGAAGAATGGTAGCCTCCTACATAAAGGACTGTGCACAGAATTTTAAGAAATTTCGTGCTGTCTAATTTTAGAGATTTTTTAATATGACGTTCCTCATTATATCCGGAGTAAGATGAGCTCTTTAAATCAAACTTTCTGTGTGCCTATCTCATGGGTTTAAAAAGTTCATTTTTCGTCCGTTTTATACGCATGATCAAGGGGAGATGTGGAAAGAAGCTCCTCTTTTCTTGTCCCGTGCTGGTCAGTAAGATCAAAGGAAGCAAAGTAACCTCTCCTTCTTCGAAAGTTTTGAAGAGAATCTAAAAGTTCAGTCCAAGATGTAAGAAATTAATTCTAATTGTATTTGCTGTTTTGGGGAAATTCTTATATCAGGTGATTCTTCATTTATCTCATCTTATACCATACGGCAAACCAGTTGTTGATAATTGGTTTCCCTTGCTCGTGCCACTACTCTTTGATGCTGTTTGACTTTTATTTCCAGTAAACACAGCTTCCTCAAAATTCTGTTGTTGTCCCTTGATAACCACATTTTTCTTGCACTGATTTACAGCTTCGGGTAACCCGCATCACTGCAGCTGTGGAAGAACATGGTTTCACCCAGCCACTCTTTGCAGATGGCCTAAATCGAAGCAGGGTGTACCTCGACACTAAAGTCCTTGCTGATTTATCCATTTGGGAGCCACGCACGTTTAAGGTAATTATAAGAAACTGATCATTCATTATGTCGCTTACTGACGGCACAAATGGAGGTCTCATCCATGAACTAAAATTGCACAACTTCAGTCACGCTGATGACACCACTTTCATCTCCCACAGGCAATGTCAGAAAGTGGCATTATGCTATTAGTGAACATTTGTGAAGGAAGGTGAACATCAAACTCTCACCGGAAAAAAAATAATAAAATGAAGCTAAGAAGCATTTGAAGCAAGAATAACAACTGGTTATAATCTTCTCCAAATGATGGCTTATGAAATTGAAATTCTATTGTGTCTTAAGTTGGGCATCCTTACTGAGGCACTCTCCGAGGGCAGAAATTCGGGCAAGGAACACTGGGAAAAATCCCTGTAGACATTAGCAATGATTTTGTACTGGTTCATCTCCATGACGCAGCAAAAGACAACTGAAACAGGCAGGGATCCCTGGTTTCCTTTCCCACTCCCAGATTGTCCCTTGTACCATATGATGAGAAATAAGTGGATGGATTTACAAAAACAGGATGTTAACATCAATGGAGTAAGTACAGGGATAGGCTCTCTATTCTTTCAAGTTTTGTGCTTAAGTGCTAGTCACAAGAAACTAAGAAAGAAAAGCTGGATCTAATCTCTTTCCATTTTCAATAAGTTCTATTAACTTTTCGCAGTCATTCATTGAATATTCATCATGACATTGCCCGGGAATTTGATCTAATATTCCTCTCATTGCAGGCGCTGACACACCTGGCTTGGTCCAAAACATTCAAAGATAGGGTAGAAGGTGTAGACGAACAAGGAACTCCTCCTGCGAACGTGGCTATTAAGGATCTGAAAGACTCCTAGATAATTGGCAGTTTGTTTATCCAGTTGATAGTGTTGTTTTTTTTTACTTATTTGCATTCTTCTTGCGTTGATTTTTGGTCCTTGTGTTTTGAAGCTGACACTTCAATCTGGCAGTGGGCTTACCTTTGTAAATACTGTACAATCTTGAATCCTACAAGAATAATTAAAGTCTTTCATGGAACTTATTGGCATTTTTCTTTGATCCTGTTGACACATTCACCGAACATACCACTAGCATACAAGTGTTCTGAGTCTTGTCAAGTTGTTTAAGTGTTGTAATGTTGCTTATTTGTGAGCAGAAACTGCATCTTTTTGGCATAGAAAGGAAGAAAGCCATTTTTTCTAGGCTAAGTGCATCTCTCATTTCACTCGATCTCTGGGTGATCAAGCAGATTTACTAGCCTATCACAACTGTTGACTTACTGGTTAACTACATTCCGGTCCATTTTGTCACATTTCTTTTGAAATTAATTCCAAATGCCTCTCTTGTTTGTAATAACACGTCAAGCTGTAACATGGGACTTGGTCAAGGGTTTGAAACTCATGATTTATTTTGATTAATTGTTTGTGTAGATATTTAAAAAAGCTAACATCTTGATTTTGCTCCTTGAAATTTCAAGAAGTGTAAGCAAATTTGTTGAGTTCACTGCGACCAACTCAAGTGTAGAGTAAGTACAATAGATCTACTGCTTGCTGGTTTTACAACACACTAAAGAAATCTCTTCTAATTTTCTTAAATGAGTAGGTAGAACTGGATGATCTCTCCTGAAAATGTACTTGTGCAACTAATCAGTTCAAAGGAACCTTTTTTCCCCAAAAATAAGGGAAGTCTTGCTGAGCTTGTGTATGAAATTTTACATGCACATCAATGAAAGTCCCATTTGTTTTTAAAAGTGCATCAACCATGGATGAGTCCAATGCGCAGTCAAAATACATCATTATCTCATTCCTCCTAACTTGAGAGACAAAATACATAAAATGTTCACCCCTCAAATTCGTCACTCTTACAACATTTTTACAATAAAACTGCTAATAGTCTGAGGAACAAAACTTTAGAACCTCAAGCAATGAAATCATCAACAGACAATAGGAAAATATTTTGGTCTAAAAGATGAAAGATATCTTTGAAAATAGAAAATAACAGTAAGTGGTGTTACCTAGATTGTCCAATACCTGCTCCCTGGAGGGTCGGCTATAATTCTTCATTCGATAAAAATTTAACTAAGAATTACTTGAAAAAAGTAATTTTTTTTAGCCTAACTGAGAGGTGTTGTAAGAAGAAGAGAGGGCATTTGACAAAATAGGGCCTTGAATTGTGAAAAACTACCCTGAGGTTGGTGATAATACGAATCATTGACTTAAATATCAAAGTGAAAAACAGCACCTGTTCTCAATTTTTTTCTACTGATCAATACTGTTCCTTCGAAAATGAAAATTAACAAAGGAAGACAAATAATTGGAAAACACCATCATGTGATAAACAACAGTTTTACTTAGAAAAAGTTTTCAGCAAAAACCTTAAATTAAAAAGAGACAATAAAAAATTAAAAACTAAAGCTAACAACTAACTCTTTGCCGTCAGTTTCTGGTGACCAATTGAGAGACAAGTTACAAGGAAGGAAAAACATGAAGTAGCCTGGATTTTTTTTAGCTGATGCAGAACTAACAGTTTTCAGCGTAACTACAAGACGAACATAATGTACAATTGAAGAATAGACTCTTCGAAAGAAGAAAGATTGGAGGGTCAATCTTACGATTCTAATTTGGCTAAAATATCTGATTCTCGGAAAAGATGGAATTCTTGCTCCTCTAGCGTAACTTTTGTGCCTCCATACTCTGGCAACAGTACCTTATCACCAACCTGTACGTGCAGAGGGACAATCTCACCATTCTGAGTAGAAAAAAAAGGAAACAAAACAAATTAGGTAACATCCAAATCCTAGATGATTTGCTAAATATTAGGGCTGCTTCTACCACTAACACTCTTTCTTGGGTTATGCGGGCTGATAATGAAATTGATAGTCAAAATGATAGGAAAAAAGACAGAGAAAAAATGGAGCGATCTTATTGGTTGAAACAGGTGGTTGTGAGGAAAATGGTGGACCAACTGTAGGGTCTTGTGGGTTGTCATTAATATTGCCATCCTACCTTACCTCTCTTACCTCCTTTGTCTATTGCTACCACCCCCTTCAACCAATAGGGTCTCTCCATTTACGTCCTTTTTGTCCATAGCTTGGTCTACCAATTTCAGTAACCAGGACGCTGGGCTCAATTACTATCTTGAGGAATGGAAGAAAATTTTCGATATGTTCAACATGGAAGTTTTGCCTAGTTTCTGCATTCTGTCTACTCCGATGTTTCATAGCTTCGTAGTCTTTGTTTTTCCAAAACTCTCAACTACTCTTTAGATGCAAAATAAGATGGCCAATTTTAAAATCAATCTTGGTTGAGATAAAAAATTGCAGTCCTTAGGATTTTTTTGTAAGTTAATACGTAACGATGACTTCATCTCATAAATGGGAAAAATGCACAAAACATGGCCTGAAAATCAAACCTCTGGCTTTACAGGGGTGCAGAATGTTCAAGGTCTGGCGATCTGTATTTCGCGGGTGAACAGTGTACACTGCAAAATACAATGTACACTTCGGCGGAAGCCATGCTGATTTTTTTAAAAAATTACTTAGACAGCATTGATTTTTTGTCAGAATTACTATAATAGCACTGATTTTTGATAAAAGTACATCAACCCCACTTGACTTTTGTCAAAATTACTTCGCCCACACTGTGTAATAGTGTGTAGGGAAAATTTGCGTCCTGTTGGTGAAGGCGTACACTGATGAACTTTCTGCACCCCTGTGGCTTTACCCTTCAAGAATTTCGAAATGGACAATGGAGAATTTGCACGCAATTTTTTTATTGCTTCATCTGAAAGTGCCTAATGAGCTGAGTTCGCAATATTTTTCATAATTTTTTTCTGACATGGGAAATTGGAGAAAAATTGATTTAAAAGTGAGAAAATGTGCCGCCTTGTGACGTCATCTGGCGGCATTTCCCATTTAAACACATGTATTTTAGCAGAATCGGTTATTTTGTCATATCTCCTCTAATAATTGCTCAATTTATGAATCAAGGGTATCTTCGTGTTCAGTTCACTCGGAGGATTCCACTTAAACAGGAAATTCATCAAATTTCAGACCCTTGCAAATTCTCCATTTAAGGTCCTGACTTTGAACCCCCCAGAGTCCGCTACAATTTTTAAGGGTCTGGAAACTCGGTAAAAGAAAGGCTCAAATAAAGACCTGGTCTGAAGGAAATCCAAATTGTGGAACGAGGGTTGTCATTTTGGCAACAAGTTCTTTTTTAAATTATCTCCAATGCTGTAATTATTCCGTGTTTTTCATTGATTCACCCCATTTCTCTCACATTAACTGCAGGTTGAAGAAATTCTATGACTTACAGTCAACTCGCACCATAAAGTTAAGTAAACTTGCAGCAAAATTGTAACATGTACTCACATTATTTCTTTGTCCATTCCCAACGGCTACAACAGTGCCCTCTAGAACTTTGCCTACAGCTTTCTCTGGAATGACAATACCACCCTTTGTTTTGGTGACTGCCTCAACTTTTTGAATTAGGACACGGTCAAACAGTGGCTTAAGTTTCTTTGCAGCTGCCAGTGCCTGAAAAATAGTAAGACTAAGTGCAAAATCAGATGAGAAAGGTAAGTCTCTAAGGAAATTTCACAGCTGGCAGCAAGTGCAAGCGTTCACTCCGGACATTCACTAAAAAAAAAAAAAAAAAAAAAAAAACTTATACTTTCAAAAAGAATTGAGCCAAAGTTTAGAATCCGAGATGAAAAAACAGAAATAAAAAAAAAAAAAATAATTTGAAGCCAGCTACCAGTTCACTCATCATTTGCATCTTGAATTTGAGGCATTCCTTGGTGAAAGGGCCTAAGAGGATGTTTTTGATTTCAAGGAAAATGCGAGTCAAAGTTCACAGCCCTGCACATAAGAAGTACTCATATCTTTTTACAAAAGCATGGAAGGAATTGTTTCTTAACAGTGGGAAAATGGGTTTCCTCCTAATTTTGAAGCCCAGTATCAAAGCTTAAGGTGACAAGACGGACGCCATATTTGGTGTCAGAACGCCATGCAATATATCGCATTGAATGGTTCCATTTTTTCAGCTACTCGTCATTTTTCTCGAAATTTGAGAACGCAATTTTGTTGCCCGGAGATTAAAGAATTCACTTACTTATCAATTTTCACAAACAAATTCAACGTATTAAGGGCATGGTTTTTTTGGACTAAAAATATCGCATTCGACACTGATATCGAAACTGCACTCGGATGCAATATTCTTCCTCTGAAAAAACCGCGCCTTTAAAACGTTGAATTTGGTAAAGAAAATTGATATGTGAATTCTTAAGCCTTCTGGCAACAGAATTTCGATCTCAAAATATGAGAAAATGACGGATAGCTGACAAAATGGGACCAATGCGATATATTGCATGTCGTTCTGACGCAAGATATGGCATCCATCAAATCACCATAAACGGCCAGAAACATTAAAATTACATATAGTACTTATATCAGCTCAAGAGGTGGCAATTATACAGATTTAAGTTTCAGCCTAATGCTACTTTGTACACAGAAAATGGTCTGAATGCAAGTTAAATGGTGCTTCTAACAGAACAGGTGGCATGGGATGATGCTGTCGGAATAACAGGAAGCCTGTTAGTATCCCCACCCCACCAGCCCCTTGCTCGCCATGGCGTGGCTGGTGACGTTCCACTGCCAAAGAAAAGTAATGAAATAGATAGTCTACTCTACTTAATAATATAGGTGGGGACTGGCATAAGTTGGACCCTTAACAAGGAATTACTACTGATATTAATCACCATGAAACCACACGGCTGTGATTAGGCTATCTAACGAATTTGTCTCAACTGGTCAGAAATGAAATCTTCCCCTCATAGTATGCTGTAAAACGTGATAATTGAGAGAGAATGGGAGACGAGGAGTACCTTAAAATTAAAATGTGGGTAATCATGCATAAGGGAAACTTCTCTTCTGAGCAAGCCGAAGTGATGATAATGGCCCGGGTAAGACTTACCATTCTTGAGAGATGAGATAAAATAACAGGAAATTGGAAACAAACGAAGGGCACGAGATTCTTGAAAAAAGCAAAGAAAAACTGTACGTGAAATGCGAAGAGTATGCGGTTATGTGATTTGGAACTTGTAGCAAAGGCGTTCTCGCGAGGAGGTAATGGGTTCTGATTATCAGTCACGATCACACGATGACCAATGCAACGCTCGTGCTCTTCTGCCGCTGCCGGCTCCAGGCTCTAAGGTTAGGATTGAGGTTATGCTAGCGTGCACTGATAAGTGATAAGGGTTCTTGGGTGAAATGCATCCGATAAAGAGCTAATTATTGAAGGCGCCAACAGCTTTTCAGTCTTTCCAACCTCGTAACTGATAGTATTGGCTGTAAGTTTCAGTAAGTTCAAAAGTTCAGCTTGAAAGCTCGGTGTTACATGAGTTGCATCATCCCATTCGGCATTTTCTAGAACATTTACACGGGTGACAACTTCGTCTCTGGCATACTGCACTACTACTGAGTCATAGCTTTTTTTATAATACTCAAATAAGGAGTAAAATATCACTTTATTGCTTTTAAAATCATTAAATACTAATCTTAGAATCATAACTATATAAAATTGAAATTTTTCTCTCTTTAAAAAAGGTTGAATAATTATTGAGTAGTCATAGTGTCTGTAGGATATTATTTTAATAGTTGGTACTTCTGTCCCTCGGCTCTCCCTCCCAACCCCCTCTCCTCAAGCGGCAGCGTGCTCTTCTTGCTTTTGCTTTTTACACCAGCCGGTCTGTCGGATCTGATCCTCGTGCTACTTGCCGCTGGACACTTTTACTGAAACAAGTTCTCCTCTATTCTAACTAGAATATTAAAAGTTATTCCGTGTTCTCATCTTTCGGCGAATTTCCTCCTTGTACTAATTGTAAGTTTACTGCAATATCCCTTTTCTTTTTGTAATGTGATCATCTTCATCAGATAAGCCCTAGTCTCTACAGGCCACCTTTCTAGGCATGGGGGGGCTGTGCATGTGCATGGTTGCCTGGAAAACCTTTTCCTGCTCCAGTGCATTATCTGCTGCGTCCCTTATCCTCCCAGTTAATACCATTGAATGCTTCCATATGGATATCCCTGCGCCTTTGTTAGAGGTGCCACTTTTCTAAGCCTCCACGACCCAGCAACGTGTGGTGGATCTGCCTCCACCTTTTCGACTCGCTACTTTCAGGAAAGGACCCTGCACACCTCTTATGGGAAGCTGCACCATGAAGAATTGCCTTCTGACTTATGTCATTCGATTCTCCTCTAGATGCTGATCTAAAGTTATGATTGCGCCAACTTTCTACGATGCACCGTTTTCGCAAAAATCCTATGAGAAGATTCAATTATTCGGTGATAAAAAGCCAGAAAAATTCCTCATTCCAGTGCTCGATTGACAAGCCGCTTTGTGTCAACAAGGAAATCATGGGGACTCCCGCACCGAGCGGCAGTCTTATCTCGGATTCCGCACTCCGTTTTGCCCGACCACCATCCAAATCAGATTCTTGAGGAGCATAAGAACAGGAAAGTCTGAACGTCTACCGGGCGAGTGCGGGAGTGCATAGCCCCTGAGTCGGCAGGTACAGATAAGAAGACGGACACGTGCTACGTTTCTTCCTTATTCACATCGGGCCTGTTCTCAAATGCTTTGTTCTTTTTTATTCATAGTTGCCGAATAATTGAATCTTCTCATAGGTTTTTTGCGAAAACGGTGCATCGTAGAAAGTTGGCGCAATTATAACTTTTGATCAGCATCTTGAGGAGAATCGAATGACATAAGTCAGAAGGCAATTCTTCATAGTGCAGCTTCCCATAAGAGGTATGCGGGGTTCTTTCTTTTTCTGGACATGCTCAGCTTCTTGCACAAATTGACCCTAGGATGTAAGATTTTGACTACCAGGAGTAACCTGCGCTACCCTGCATCAATTGCACTATCGAATAAGAGTTCCCTCATGCGACGGCTAATTTCAGACTTATCAGCTGAAGGATTCTGCATGCCTTCCCACTAAATTGAGGTAAAGATCACTGCAGTTCCCCCCACGCAAAGGATTCGTGGCAATTGAAAGTTGTGCTATAGTGAGAACTTAGCCTCTTGGCTCCTTGTCTAATTGTCGGAAGGGGCTGAAATGTTGTGCAGGCACCCGGGACACTTTGTGCTACATCTAAGCAAAGTTTTGCTCATAACTAAAGGGGGTCAACATTTTTTTGTTGGTTTTAGAACAGAATCTTCAACAAGATACATTGTACTTAGCAGAACTGAAATATTTAAATTATCAGCTTTTATGGCCTAATGTTCTCCCAGTTGGTGAGGTGATTTGTCAAGCTCAAGTGACTTGGTTGAACTGGCATGCAAGATATCGCATCAATTGGGTCCAAAATCTCGGCAGGTTTTGAATTTTCAGCAAGATAAAGGACTATAGCCCCTGCGCATGAGCCTGAAGAATCATGCTAAACCCTTAAGTTGGCAAAATTCAGATAAATGAAAGCAGAATAGTGTTTGGAAAAAAACCTCGAATTCGATACAGAAATCGATAGCTGAATCGAATGCAAGGTTGTTTTCCAAACACTACTCTGCTTCCATTTCTCTGAATATTGCCGATTTTTGGGTTTAGCATGATTCTTTAGGCTCATGTACATGGGTTATCGTCCTTTTTCTTGCTGAAAATTCAAATCCTGCTGAGATTTTTGACCCTATGGATGCGATATATCACATGCCAGTTCAACCATGTCACTTGAGCTTGACGAATCACCTTAAACAGTCCAATTATTGAAATAAGTCAAATGATTTTCACTCAATTTTTCATGTAGCACAGTAAGTTTATCAAAATTATGACCAAGTTTTTGGGGAAAAATCTGGTTTTGGCCGGCACTGGCAGAGAGAGAAGGTTGGAACTGTAGAACAGAAACTTCTTCATGCTGCAGATCATTCATAGCTTTTTAGGTATCTGCCAATGAGTTGGACTCAAATTTTAAATCAAGGTTCCTCCCTCAACATGTTGGAAGTATGTTGTGGTGATCACGAAGAACGCTGTATGAACCTTTAGACGTTGCTATATTTCTTGTGGTATACACCAATTCCAGGAAAACTTGTGCTTATTCTTCTTTCAATTTTTCAGATAATTTTGTTTACAATTTCACTTGAAATTGCTGAAAATTTCAGGAACTAATATGTCTAAACTTCCTCAATAATAAATGTTTTATCAGTGGAAATTTGACAACTATTGAATGCCCATGCGGCGTTTTTCCTTAGCATGGCAGTATGGTCAGTCTATTTGAACCTACTTTCTGACATAGATGGAGTGTCATTCTTTCGCTGTCAAATTCATTATCTCCGTTTCTATTTAGTAGCATAAAGTTGCATTGCCCACATCATTATATAAAGTTAATAGGCCGCAAGATCCACTACTCCCCATTGCAAGGTGAGAATCCAAAGCCAAAAATATGCCATGGCTCTTTGCTCATAAAAGTGCTGGATCAATTAGGCAAGTATTAATCCCTTGAAATTTTTTTATAAATTTCTCATGTCTCAGAAATGTTAGTCAGTGGCCTTACTGTTTTTTTTTCTTCTTCAGATGTACCGTTTACCCTCCGTTCTTCGCTCAAGTGCAGCACGACAGCTGAACCCTAGCCTTGCTCGATTTTATGCCAAAGATGTGAGATTTGGCCCGGAAGTCAGAGGTTTAATGTTGCAAGGAGTTGATATTTTGGCTGATGCTGTAGCTGTCACTATGGGACCCAAGGTAAGCTATAATACCTGAATGCCTCTTAGAGGTGTTCGATTATTTTAAAAATCGCATAATCGATAACAGGTAATCGTAATATGGAATTAATTGATCAGGCAATTAATTGGCAGTTAAAAAATCGATTCATCGATTTCTTCGAAATTTTTTGTTTTGCTTCTTTCGATCTGTAAATGGCTAGTTTGGCTGCTGGGAACTTAAATTCAGTAGCCACCAACATGTACTGAGATACTTACGCTTGAATATATATGTTACCTATTGTTAAATATATGAATTGTATTTTTCTATTGTGTGTGTGTTCGATTTTCTTCTGATGGAGAACATCGTGAGTGTGTAGACAATTTCTTGAACTTCTAAATTACAAACCAACATTTTCAAAGTCATAATCAACTTCAAAGAATGTAATCGACTCATTTAAGCAGATTAATTGACTAATTTAAGCCGAAGTCGACTAATCGAATTTCTGATTAATCGTAAACTATTAATGGATTGAATGATTAATCTGAAGAGTGTTAATCGATTATTAAGGGCTTCATTCATCGAAAATCGGAACACCTATAATGCTTTTAGTCGGTAATGCAATAAGAATGCAGGGTTGCTGGCGGCCTGAAAAACTGGGAAAGTCACGGTGTTTGCAGCGACAGGGCAAAGTCAGGGAATTTATGACACATCTATTATCACAAAAGAATATATCTGATCTTCCAATTGTTTACCCTCCATGGTCTCTCTAAGGCTTGCCATTTTTAAACCAGCCTCTGAATGCCTTTTCCTACAATTGGATCTCAGAAAAAAGAAATTATGTCCAAGTTTAACAGAAGACAGCGTATTTGAAAAAGAAGAAAAAAAGTGGAAATCATGTTTAAAGGTCAGGGAATTAGAAAATTTTTAAGTGAGGGAAAAGCAAAAAAAAGTTATAGAATTTGAAGATAAAGAAATTATGGTAACTCTGGAATGTCAGAATTGAGGACACCGCACCAAGAACAGCCTATAACTGGAAACCGCATTTTGAGAAAAACGCATTTAAAGTTTTGTTTTTGATGTACTGCGCAGACTTTTCTATGCAGGTACTCTGTTTTGGTGTTTTTGGGTGACCAAACCCTTCTATTGAAGGATGCCGGGTAGATTTTGCGATACATTTTGGGTTTACACTCTAATATATTTAATTTAAAAAAGCTGTTTATAGGCCATTATTACGCCCAACAGTCATTTTGGTGGCAATATGAAGTATAAATAATTTTAATTACGCATGATTAACACAAAATGAAAGAATATCGATAGTGAGTAAAGAAAGGGGTAACTAGCGCCGTGCCGATGCCCGCTAATCGAGAATGATAAGGCCGCGCGTATAGGTCGTTCTTGCACCCATCGATCCAGAGGCCTGACTTAACTCGGAAAAAAAAGGTTTTTCGACCTCGAGCCGTTACCTATCTATATTCTATCGCTACCACAGCATAGTCCAGGGTACGTAGAATCCGAAAAGCAGATGGGCGTAATAACGACCTGTACACCCATAGGCTGTTCTTGGTGCGGTGTCCTCAATTGCCAAAACTTCAACCTTGGGGAAAACAGAAAACTGACGTAATTAATATGTGATAGTCGGAAATGTTACGTTGACTTAAATATTGGCGTACAGACATGGCTCACATTCACTGCCAATAAAATAATTGAAGTTGAAGAACATGAAAAAATGTTAAAATTTTGAATAATTTTTATTTAAAAACTGGCACTTGTAACATACTGTGAGGATTTTGTGAGTACAAGGGCTGACATAATAGACATCAATGGACAAAAAGCAAAACCTTGTTTCTCCATTTATGATGTCACAGACTCTCTGTCATACTTTACTTATACTTTAGAAAACTAGGCCACGTAATTTATTGAAAAATTCCCTGATTTTTCTTCTCTGTAAGCAGAATATTTGGTAAAAATTTCAAGCTGTGAAGTTAGCTTGTTTCTCTTAGAAGAAATAACGGTGCGGAATTTTTAAATCATTTAAATGGGCATACATGGTTTCACACTTCAGCTATCAGTATTGTGCATGTTTCTTAGTGTTTGTAATACTCGAGTTTGTTCCTCAATCCATAAAGTAAAGCATGCGGGAGCCTTGGTTGTCCAAACTCTTGAACCTAACTCCAAAAACTTGACGCTCATGTCTCTTCTCTTGAGGCCTGAAACTTGTGCTATGCACTTACCATAATTTTTACTGTTCAGTTTTAAAGCATCCAAAACTATTACTGTCACAAAATTATCTGAGGAATCTAAAATATTCGATATATCATTAATATTTGAAGTAGGACAGGGGTACTTCTACAGGATGGAGAAGGGGGGTATATTGGGCATTGATCAAAATCACAATTGGATTGTATTTAACAAAAAGGAACCAGCGCGATTACAGTGTTTTCAAAATTTTGCAACTTCTCATTCTCTTTTGAAAATGCTCAATGTATGTACAATACTAAAATTTACACAATTAATTTGCTTTAAAATTAACAATTTGTTGGTAGGAAGCGAAAAGCATTTCGACGGTGAAAGTCGGCAATCACATAACTCGTTTGCGGTGTCTGAAAATCTCCGCCTGTACGTCATTTTTTTAAAGGAAAACAAATTGATATTATTTCTTGAAGTTTTTGCAGAAATTTCTTCGCATTGAGAAGAAAAATCATGACAGTTTTAAAGAATTGCCGTTGAGTAGTTTTCCATTTAAAAAATAAAGTATGGCAGGAAGTCTGTGACGTCGCAAACCGAGTTATGTGATTGCTGACTTTCACCGTCGATTTGCTATTCTGGGAGATTCTTTACTTAATTATTATGAGGAAGCAACATTTTTACAACACTGTAATCTCGTTGGTTCCCTTTTGCCAAATGCGATGCAATTTGTGCCTAACTCTATTGATCCAATTTGTGCCTAACTCTATTCGGACTCTCAGTGTGGCTTTGTCAGGGAAATATGAGGCAATTTTAAGAAGTCAGGACAAAATTGTTCAGTCCCCCTTAATTGCTTTCTAGAATGGGTTTAACGTTTCAAACAACAATTTTTGCCTGAAAACTACGTCCAATTATGTCTTTTTAACCATGTGGCATATCTTCAGTTGTCAAGGAATTTTACCAAAATGTATCAAGGAAATTAGGGAATTTTGTCTGAAATTCTTTCCCTAAATTCTGTGGCAACCCTGGATACTCGTGTAAGTCTGGCCAAGATTGACCTGGGTAGTATAAACTTGGGAAATTCCATTCGGATAACATTATTTAAGCAATAAGGAACTACTATTTCAAGCTCATTTGGACCGCGTTAAACAGAAATGAACCAAGCCTCATCAGCTATTGCCAAATTTACTTTGGCCATTTAATTTTTTACATGAAAACGGTTGTGCGGATTTTTGTGAAAACTTCAGTGGATTTTCTCCATAGTGCGAAGCAAATTCCTTAAAATTTTCAAAGGAATCCACACAAATGTTTTCTCCTAAAAAATTGAAATGTCCAGTTAAATTTGGTAATAGCTGATGTGGCTTGGTTCCTTTCTGTTAAACGCGGTCCATTTCGGAAAAAGCGAATGTGCCATTAGTTTCCTTATGCAGATGAGAGATTTTATGGATGAGACAGAAGTAGTAATTCCTTATCACATAATTTACTCCATTTGCTCTACGATACGATTATTTTAATAGTATTTTCTGTTTCCTGCAGGGCCGAAATGTCATACTGGAGCAGTCATGGGGATCTCCGAAAATCACCAAGGATGGAGTGACGGTCGCTAAAGGAGTAGAACTAAAAGACAAGTTTCAGAACATTGGTGCCAAATTGGTTCAAGATGTAGCCAATAACACAAATGAAGAGGCTGGCGACGGCACCACTACTGCCACAGTCCTTGCTCGAGCCATTGCCAAGGAAGGCTTTGAGAAAATCAGCAAAGGCGCAAATCCAATAGAGATAAGGAAAGGTAAACATGCTCATTCAACTCAATTCAAAGAGGCTTCTTCTTGTTTTTAAGTACTCTTAAATACAATCCTTTTAGTCATTGTTGAAGCTTTGATTACCTTCATTACTCCAGCTCCATCTTGTATTTTTTCAGTGAAAGCCCAGAACCTCACACCTCAGTTTCCAACATCACAATTTTCCAGCCAAATCCTATTTGAAAGATGGCTGATCATAGTCGTAGCCCCAAACCCTGTCTGAATCTTCTTTGCCTCTTGAGAACTATTCCCTAAGCATTGTGTACTTGAAAGTTATGAAGTTCTCGCCAAACTAATGAAAAAGAAGTGGTAATTTAAAAACACAATTGTCAAAATACATTTTTTCGTAGCTTGACTGTGGATATTTATTGTCTGTGAAACTCCCAAAACGCGCATCTCATTTAATGTGTTCTAAAATCTCCTCCAATTCATTCTATCCTAGGCAAACAAACCAAAAGTAGCGCTCGAAATTTTCACATAACATTTTTCAAACCAAGGAGAAAAACTAGGAAAGTTTTAAAGAAATAACATTAAGTACTTTTCCATTCTGAAAATGAATTATGACATAAAACCTGCAGCGTGGCATACCAAGAGTTCCGCTTTTTGCAGTATCTCTGTCATTATTCGCAATATTGAAACATCTTTTCAACATTCTAAAACACTTTGTCGGCCCAATAAAGGCCTTTTGTTGGTTAGGACTGTGGAATCCTTCTGATTTGAAGTATAATGATCCCTCAGCTGTAATGATGTTAAACAAGAAGTTGCAATTTATTTATTTATTTATGAATTAATATAACCTCTATTTTTGGTACTTGCGTGTGGTTTTTAGGTGTAATGTTAGCTGTAGAAACTGTCAAAAACAATTTAAAATCGCTATCAAAGCAAGTAACAACCCCAGAAGAGATTGCTCAAGTAGCCACAATCTCTGCCAATGGAGATGGAGCCATTGGAAATCTAATCTCAGATGCTATGAAGAAAGTAAGCAGTCTCCTGTCTAATTACCTCAATATTGTTTCATTCCTCAGAAATTCATAACAGTTAACTGTTTTTTCTCAAAGGCATGAGCACTGGAAAAAGTGTGCAAAAGCCGCACAAGAAATAATTGACATCAAGTCAAATTTTAATTGAAACAAGATTCAAATTTTCAGAAAAGTGTAAAATACTGTGCTTTCACTATTCTAAAGCTAAATTAGGAGATTTTTTTTATATGATATTTCGTAGGACCTCCAAAGTATGATGAGCTCTTAAAATCAATCTTTCTATGTCCTGTCTTGTAAAAAAAGAGTCTGAAAAATGCATTTGTTGGCAGTTTTATCTGCATTACATGGTAGAAAAATGTTGGTGATTGTGGAGACAGTTCCTCTTCCACATCCTGGGCCTGCCAGAAAGATAAGATGGTGGGTCAACGAGGTGGATAAAAAATGGTAGTCGCATTTCGTATCCTTTTAATGTCATATGGCATCGGTTACTTTTCACGTACATCCTGATTGCATGGCAAAGCATGTACCCTCTGCGCGTCACAGCCTTTAAAATGGCAGCTCAACTCCAAATGCGACCACCTTTCTTTATCCGCCTTGGTGGGTCAACTCAATTAAAAGTAATTGTCTGTGCATTTTCAACTCAGCGATTGTGCTATTTTCCATGAGACATCACAGGCTCAATCGCCGGCAAAGGCACTTTTCAGACCCGATTTTCCTGACATTGGCACATCTTTCACTCGGAAGATGGTGCTGAACACTGTATCAAAAAATTTCGAAAAGCTGAATTTCATGGTATTTCATGTGTAGTGCTTTCAGTCTTTCTTACCGGAACATAAACAAAAGCGTACACTATTTTTTATATTGTATTACAGTTGCCTTCCTAAATTGTTGTAACTACTGTTGCATGGAAGAGCATGACTCTAAGAAGGGGAATTGTGCTTGAATCAGCTTTTTTCTTCTTTAATGATAAGTTCAAATTTATACTAAATACATATCAACCCATTTTGGATAAATCATTAACACTGTTTGAACAACTCAAGCAGCTGACTGCACTCTGAGCGCAGAATTGAATGTTGGTGATGAAATGTGAACTTAAAAAAATAATAATAATTATAATTTGAACTGCTCATCATAACGAGACTTAGAAAGCATTTTTTTTTTAAAGTGTTTCTTAATCTCAATCACAGGTTGGCAAAGAGGGTGTCATCACGGTCAAAGATGGCAAAACTCTGGAAGATGAACTTGAAGTGATTGAAGGGATGAAATTCGACAGAGGTTACATCTCCCCCTACTTCATTAACACCACTAAAGGTACATATTAGAACAGTCATTCATTTTCTTACCAGAAATAGTCCTCCAGAAATTTACTTGTGCTTTTAACGAAATATGGCTACTGATCTGTTTAGTCTTCCAGGTTTGGACAACTGCAGATAACTGACCTGTGTCTCTGATTAGGCTGACTAATAGGCTGAATGTTGACCCTTTATCTGACAATGTTGGCTAGATATAAAAAGACAAGACAAGACGTAGCTCTATCTGTTCAATTTTCGATATCTGATCGTGCTAATATGAATTTCAACAATGAGGCTATTGGACGTCTCTGCTTCAACTTCATGTGTGTTTTCAAAAGTGAGTTTGTCCAAGGTTTAAGAAAACAGACAAACAAAACTCCGCTTTTAACACCCTCCAAGATGACCATGAACTCATCAGCAAAAGAGGTTTGTGTTTGGTTTTGGTCGTGATGAGTTCTGATCTGTCTGAGCGATATGTATTACGTAGACTGATGCCATTCTCCATGCAGGGTGGCAAAATTTTGTGCAATATTTCTTGAAATTTCAGAAATTTATAACTGAGAATTAGATGCCAAAAATTGGTCTATTGCATTCAAGTGCAGGTCACATACCTTGTACCTGAAAAATGCCTTTCAAGAACGTCATTAACTTTGTAAGACTTCTAGGTCTGTGAACTTTCTGGAAGTATTTTATGGAAATTTCAAATGTTTCGTATCTTACTTACATTTCATGCCATCACATCCTGGATCCGTGGACCACATAGAAATCTCACGCTAAGCCTCTCTCCTGATCCCATCCTAACAGTGGTTATACGCCCACCCTCCTTTACTCAACTTTTGCAGCACTCGAGAGCGAGGGGCATCCCAGAAAGTCATGAAAACATACAGGAAAAATAATGAGTGGTGAAACCAAGCAGTTGCTGAAACCTACACTCCAATAATTAAAGAAAGTGCTTTTTTTCCCCTATCTTTATTTTTTCTTTTTCTTCGTCCAACTGTCAAGCTCAAATTTTAATGATGACCTAGCGTTAGAAGCTAGAGCTTTCATGTAACTGATTTACTAGGCTCCTTTGGAACTAATTTCCCCGCAGCTACGACGCATGAGCACTTGCTGTTCGTCCGACTCCCTGTTTTGTAGTTGGTCCAAGCGGACTTGCCTGATAAGACAAGCCCTACATCTTAGCCTTACTTCACTATGAAACCTGGGAATTCTGCAAGAAAGCAAGGAACATTTGCTTATTACCATGCAATATTCTATGTAAATCACCCGCCATTTGTTTCTAGGTGCCAAAGTTGAATTTCAAGACGCTCTGTTGCTTCTAAGTGAGAAGAAAATATCAAGCATTCAGTCGATCATTCCAGCATTGGAACTGGCAAACTCTAAAAGGAGACCCCTCGTCATTATTGCAGAAGACATTGATGGTGAAGCATTGAGCACTTTAGTAGTCAATAGGTATGTTTTCTCAAGTTAAATGGAAGGACTACCACCTCTTTTTTTTTTTTGAGAGAGATATTTGATATGATTTTAATTACTGCAGGCCCTTGAATACCAAGGTTGCGCTCACAAGTTGAATGTCTGCTGCTCGTTCCGACCTGATTATCATGACTAAATTTCCAATGAAAGACTCATTTTTCGAAATACTAGCCAATTCTGGAGTCCTTTCATGAAAATTTAATGGTAGCAAAAATTCAAGAAACACTGAATATTTCAAGGCTTTGTTGAATAGTATTGCGAACGCCTGCTGTGAATATATGAGTATCTAAATTTTTAAGGTATATCCTCTGAAAATTGGTTTATGCTTTTTAGGTTTACCTAGAGTCCCTTTATACTGAGAGTCAAGACAATGTGCCATTTCTGATTGGTTGCCATATTTTAGCCCTCCACAGTGTCACAAACGGGAATAAAGATTACATTTTCCCCAATTGCAAAGATTATAATCTGGAATGGACCAAGGAATTACGGGTTCGACAAGGCACAAACGGAATGAGGGAAGGAACGGAGAAAGGAATTCGAGAATGGGGCGATCAAAGATTACGAAAAACGTTCAATTTGTGTAACCTTTATTCCCGTTTGTGACTCCATGAGAGGGTGTTGTCCTGACTCTCAGTCTTAAGGGACTCTAGGTTTACCTTACTTCTTCAGATCCAACAATTCAGGAGTCATCTAAAATTGTTGGTACAAATTTTCGGCCTTACTTTATTTTTATTGTATAAGCTCTTACCTCATCGCTTCATTATATTTGTTCAGGTTGAAAATTGGATTACAAGTTGCCGCTGTGAAAGCGCCAGGTTTTGGTGACAACAGGAAATCTACTCTACAGGACCTAGCCATTGCCACCGGTGGACTGGTCTTCGGAGATGAAGGGACCGCCATCAAATTGGAAGATGTTCAACTTCATGATCTCGGTGAAGTAGGAGAGATTGTCATCACGAAAGACGATACCCTCATTCTGAAGGTAAAGGAATTTCCTTTTTCCCTGTAAGCTACTCGTTGCGGTATTGCAGTTTTTTAACCTTGCCTTTACTTGATTCTTGAATATACTTTCTAACAATTCATTCCATTTTCAATTTTATAATGGAAACAAATCGGACCTTCCGAAAGCTTGATACCAAGTTTTGAGTTTTAAAGGAGAAGCCCAAAGGAGAGATGTTGATAAACCACTTTTGTCCGCTGGATGCAAGTAGTGGTGTCGCGTGATGATGCTACATATTGTATTCCATTCCCTGATCATCCATTCATTATTCATCTAAAATTTCTATTATCTCTTAAAGAATATAATTTGGAATAAAACTTGTTTGAACTCATTCTGATGTATGAAAATCCACTTTTAACAGCAATGGATGTGGTATTACATTCACATCTAATTGTAGTGGACTTTCTCCGTGTTTGTGAAGTCTTGTATTGTCTTTAAGATTTTAATTTATTTAAGCAGATTAAAAGTTCAGCACTAAATATAGCTTAAGAAATTGCTAAATCCTAAACACAGCAGCAGTAATTTCATTGATTGAACTCATTCAGTAGGCAAGCTCTCCTATGTCTCAACTCTTGCTCACTTTGACCCGAAAATCTAATCTTACACTTTCAATTGGTAACTATCATCTTCAGATCTGATTCTTTGCAAAACAGAAGAATAAAGCAAAAAAATTGTTATTATCACAAGCAGTTCAAAACCGTACTAAAATAATTGCTGGATTCATCATTGGCGATTACACAAGTTTTGACTTGGCTAGATGACGAATAGAGGTACAGGTGAGGCCTATAACATATGTCTCGGCTTTGTACTGACAGAATTCTCTGTTTGCTTAGGGAAAAGGCAAGAAAGAAGAAATTGATCGAAGAGCAGATCAACTGAGGGATCAAATCGCTGACACAACTTCAGAATACGAAAAAGAAAAGTTGCAGGAACGACTTGCAAGGTTGGCCTCTGGAGTTGCCCTCTTGAAAGTCGGAGGTTCCAGTGAAGTGAGTATACTAGATCTATCTCTAACTCTCCTCCCTGCACATTGGTCAAGGGGTGACCTTGAAGCAAAGGTCAGGTCCACTGTTAAGTCTATTCCAATTTTAATCCTCCATTGTGCATAGTCTTTTGTATGTGGTACGCTCAACTCAGCCCCCCCACCACTAACAGGGTGTCTGCAGGTCTGGAAAACCGGGAAAAATCAGGGGATTCCATCAAAAACCGGTGAAAGTCAGGGAATTTTCGCGATTCGAACATTTTGCGGCTATTTTTGCTCGTCACTGCCGAATTGGCCGAGTAGCGTGCTCGCGTGGCTGATAATGTAAACTGCTCTGTTCAACCAGTTTGCTACACGGCCGCTAGGTTCGCTAATGTGTGTCTTGACACATTTTTGTTCCTGGACTTAATTTCTTCAATAAAATTTTATTTTCTTTTTCTATTTTGATCTTTTCAGTGATCTTACATCCATTCTTCCAAATCAACTTTAAAGATCGAATCGATCTGCCCTATTTAATTTATTTACTTAATTCATGCCAAATGGCAAGATAGACTGAATAGACTTGATTAAAGTTAATTTGCTAACAGCAGAAAATTACAGTAAATAATGATAGGAAACTAATTTCAACATACATGACCAAGGTTTTCTTAGGAGAGTGCCCCAGTTTTGAGCAGATGGTTAATCAATTTTTTCAATAAGTTAGGAATTTTAATGAAAGTGCTGGAATCAAGCAAATTTACCTAAAATCGAGAGGAGACTCGTATTTCCTCTTGATTATAGCAAAATCTGCCTGAGTTAGGCACATTTACAACTCTTGTTTTATATTTTAAGAAAAAGAGACTTGTATTTTCAGGGCACTAAGTAATATGTCAATATTTATGAAACCACCAGGGTGAACTATAGTTTGAATTTTCCAAAGTATACGGGGCGATATGTCACAAAGAGAGCGTAGTAGAGCTTAAAAATGAAATTTTGAGGATGAATTTTGCTCTGAGTATACCATCTTGGAATGAGCTTTACTTTGAGTATTAAGGATCTCGTTCCTTTCAAAAGTATTACTCAACTCCTTCCAACGCCATGGTAATTCAGAATGATTTTACAGGGTCATTCCTAAGGATAGTTTTTTTTAATGTTTTCTAACTAGCTCATCGTATGGCTAAACCCAAAAAGTCAGGGAATTTTGTCATTTTTTTTCATGGAAAACCTGGAATTGTCAGGGAATTTCATTTTGAAAATCTTGTAGACACCCTGACTAAGATCAATCCCTCTGCTAGACAGATTGGTTTTTCATCAAAATGTCCCATTTGAATATAACCGGTTTGCTCCGTGCTATACGCATACACTTCATGAAAACGGAAAATTTAAGCCTGTAAGTTAAGTTTGGAGAATTTCATAGTGTTCATTGAACTCAATGGAAACATTTTGATGAGATAATAAGTAATGTGGTGCGTCGATTTGTATTCTGTTGGAGAATCCATTGAATCGATTATCATCGCGTTTGTATTCATTTTTAACCAATTTCTGATGGTCCTCTTCAAGAAACCTTCACATGATTTCAATTGCTGACTCAATCCTTGAGACCTCTGTCCCTTTGAAAAAGATGCGTTTCTCTGAGGCTAAGCTGTTTTTAATTGATCTCTAGGTTGAGGTGAATGAGAAGAAGGATCGTGTCACAGATGCCTTAAATGCAACCAGAGCAGCAGTGGAGGAAGGCATCGTTCCCGGCGGTGGTCTCGCTCTTCTCCGGTGTATTCCAAAGTTAGATGCCATCTCAAGCAAAAATGAAGATCAGAAAACAGGTAACAATAATCAATTCCAGTTATTTTGTATCAGATCATCGAGATTTCAAAATGCGAGAACGAGTAATTATGATTCCTAACATTAAGGCATAGTGATCTCCCTCGGAATCAAACCAATCAAGAATAGACATATTTCTTCTATTTTAATCATGATATTTTGTGCTTCTCCAAATGGTAGTAAATGCAGTCAATAGTCATATCCGATTCTCATATGTTTCTGCTTTTTTGTAATTTTTGATATCCTTAATCTGAAGGACAATCTGAGGAAATCATATTAACTTGCCATGAGAACTGTGTGACTGGTAATTATCTAAATCTCTCTGAATTTATTTATTACGCAGTAATTTCGTGTTCAAATCATCTTTGAAGTATTGGGTGGTTTAACATTCCTACCTGCAGAAGGAAGCCACATTTAAATTTTAATTGTTCGAATCTACCAAAGCGAAAAGCACACTAATATCTTTCCTACACCTAATGAGATTTCTTTTTCATTTCCGTTTCCTTTTTCACTTGATGAGATTTCTTTTTCATTTTCATTTCCTTTTTCACTTGATGGTTCCTGGTTGCAGGTATTGAAATTGTCAAGAGAGCATTGAGAATGCCCTGCATGACCATTGCCAGTAACGCTGGAGTCGACGCCTCAATGGTTGTAGCCAAGGTCCTAGAATCTCCTCCCGAAATCGGTTACGATGCTTTAAACAATGAATATGTCAACATGATTGAAAAAGGAATCATCGACCCGACCAAAGTAAGTAACTTCCTTCACACTCACATTTTGCAATATGTTCCATTTGTTGTCGAATCCAATTGGACTGCATTTTGCAATAAGGAACTATTATTTCTGGCTCATCTGTAAAGAACACTTATATGCATAAGAAAAACTATTGAGACCTACGCTGTTTCTAAAATGAGCTAGAAACAGTAGTTTCCAATTGCAGAATGTGGTCCATTTAGTGTTTCAACTTGACTGGTACTGGATTAAATTGATAGAAATAGTTAAAGGTAAAGAAGTTTAAAAGAAAACGGAGAGATCCTATTGGCGGGTGGTTCTTATAAGCTAACAGGGGAAAATAGTGGACTAACTGAAGATCACTTGTGGATTACTGTCAGGTAGTCTATTACTTTTTCTTAGTTCATCTCAGCCACCCACTTAAAGAAGTGGGATGGCTCCATTTTCCCTTTGTCCTCTTTCCCTTCGGCCGACCAGGAGCTGTGGCTGTTGAGGCCCTTGCCAAGTGGTTGGCATGAATCCTGGTACACAGGAGGAGGTTCAGCCCACCAGGTTTACCTGGGGCCTCCAAGGGGTGGTCTCTGTGTGGTTCAGAGTGAAGGCGGGTTAGCTCGGGGTAGGGGTAAGAGCCGAAGAGAAGGCTCTCGCCCTTACTGGTGGCACTAGGCCAATTCGCTTAAGGCCAGGGACTAAGTTCCGACGTCGGAGGACGATAAACTACCTTGGAGCCTCGGAAATGAGGAATCCTTGCAAATGGCATAGGCAGCCTAAAGTGTCAGATGTTTGGATGACACCGACCGCCAGCTGATGCGGAACAGGGAGCCTTCTGCGAACTGTTAAAATCAAGCAGAGAAGATCGTAAGCCAACTACTCCCACTGGTGCAAGCCGGAGTCAGGCGCCCACCGAGCGTATCAGTACCAAACTGGGGCAAGTCCAATCCCAGGGAGGCGCGCAGAAGACGCGTAAAAGCTTTTCGATAGGAGGGGTAGACCCCCGTGTCCGAGTGAGGCTGATCTTCTTGTCAGTCAGGAATCGGCACGATAAACGCAAAACATTGTTGTTGTTGTTGTCCTCTGTCCCTATTGCTTTGTCTATCATTCCTGCCGGCATTCTTAGCCAAAGTCAATGAACTGCCGGCCGATTATTGGAATCAATAGACAAAGCAGACAAAAGGGATGTGGAGGGATCCTATCGGTGGAAGTGGATGGTTGCAATGGACAAAGGAGGTAAGTAATAGACTGACTAACGGAATTGACAAGAGATCCAACAGTCAGTCTCTCATTTTCCCTCTCAGTCTATAAAGACCACCAGTTTCAACCAATGGGATAGCTCCGTACTCCCTATGTCTTTTTTGTCCATAGCTTTATCTATCAATTTCAATAATCGGCCGGCAAGTAAATTTTATTTGAAAAATTCCTCACACTTAGGAAATGGAGAGTAAATTTGTTTCTCATATGAATGTTCTTTTGACAGGTTGTAAGAACAGCCTTAACAGATGCCGCAGGAGTTGCCTCATTGCTCACAACTGCCGAAGCTGTAGTGACAGAAATCCCGAAAGAAGAGCCGCCCATGGGTGGCATGGGTGGAATGGGAGGAATGGGTGGTATGGGAGGAATGGGCGGCATGGGAGGCATGATGTAATCAGCCGCTCGTTTGTAGCTCGATGATCTTAAGTTCCCGAACCAAAAACCTGGTTTTGAATCAAGAAGCATTTAAAAGCGTGAGTATATTAGTAGTTAGAGAGCCATTGAGACTGAAAACCTGCCCGGTGTAAGAAACTCTGTGAGCCGAATGCTAATTAAACAAACTTTAGGGTGTAGATCAGAGAGCATCTTACTCTCAGTGCAATTTTGTAGTGTGCTTGCTCATTTCCTAACTCCGAGCCAAGACCGAAACAATAAATTTAGCTCCATATGTAGGATAATAAAGTAATCACACAATTGCAGGGTCACAAGATGATACACTTCCATTCTATCATTTAAATATTGTCCCAAATATTCACTTTAATTTTTTTCTTTTCTTTTTTATCCCTCTCTCATCAAATTAAAATCTTTGTAAGTTTCTATGGTTCTTTATGAAATTGCATACATACTTCAGAGCTCTGTAAAGAAACTTGTCCAATCGAGTCCCACCCTCTAGAATATTAAGTGTCTGCTGCTGCGAAAAATGTTCTAGTCACATGTTTCTTCAATCAACTCGATGGAACAACTGAAATTCTTTCTCAAACACCACAATTTCATCACAGGAAACACTGAAGAATTTAAAGTTTCCTCTAATTTCACCGGAAAATTTTTCCCAGTGTTGAAAGTAAAGTGTGGTACACTATACTTAGGGTGTCTAAAAGTTCATGGCTCATGTGAATCAGTACAACAAAAAATGGCAAATTCGAGGGTTAGGTAATCAAAGGAATCAAAGTTGTATCCTTTCGTGTTGGTAAAATGTCTATCTTCAGGCGCTGGATAGAGGCGCGATAAAGGTCTAAATTTTTTTCAAATGGTATTTTTTCTCTATTTTATTATTGCGATTTTCATATGTTTAGTCTGGTATGGAACATGAATTAATTTTGAACGAATCTGCTGAAATTGTTTGAAAGTAAAAAGATAGTTATGGTAGTGAATGAACTTCTCATTTTTAAGCAATTTCTTCGGTCGGTTCAACTGTATTTTTGGTCGTATTGAGCTGATTATGACCTGTTCCTTAAGCTTGTGATGCTCAGAATGGACCTGTTTTAGCTATTACCTACTCTAAACCCACTCATCGTATATTTTATTGGATGAATACCAGTAGTTAGTGTAGGGTCACTCATCTTTTTATGTCGGTAAGTCGGTTTTAAGTTCATTTGTTTTGTAGACAATCAGCTGATAAAGATCTAATCCCGTAGTACAATCTGCTCAAATTTTTCAAGTTTTCACAATTCCAGAGAACACATATTAACTTGTAGCCAACAATTCAAATATGTTATCAGATGAACTCGTCGCAGTTAGTAAAGGATTAATTCATCTTTAAACACTTTTATTGAGTTGATTTGAAGTCAATTTGTGCAGTCTTGAGTTGCCAGAAATGTCAAGGATCTAAGCGTATTGGACTTTAGAGACAATGATCAGATGACTGTGAAACCAAGACATACAAGAGAAAACACATTAATTTTTGATTACCTCATCAAAAATGATAAAGCAAATCCAATAGCAGTATTAAAGGAACTATTAATCTTCAAACAAAATTGATGAGTTTCGTGAAATGTAATTTTTGCTCCAGCAAAATGCTAAAACGCACTGAATTTGAGCGTTTTAGACTTGAGTAATGGGTCACCATCAGATAACCATGACAGGAAGAACATCCGCAGACCTAATATAATTAGAATAACTCTAGTGGACAAGAACACATGGAAGAGATCTAAATGGAGAGCTGAACTTGGTGAAACAGTCCCTAAACATTTTTAAATGATTGTGCCAGACTTAACACCAGGTATAACTCTCTCACCTGGTTCTGCCCTCCGTTTTTTTTTTTTTTTAAATTTGACTTTCATTGTTCGTCTTGTTAACAAATTACAATATCCCAAATGATATTTGCTGTTTCTTTAGAGAACTTGTCTGCTTCAATTTTGGTCCATTAGGTATTTTTTATTTGGTACGTTTCTCAAAAAAATACAAATTAATTTTAAACTGACCGAAGTGAAAAAGTTAGAAGGTAAACACCTAATAGAAGTAGTCATTGATCTAGTCATCTTGGCACATTTTCAGTGAGTCGATTCATGTTCAATGGAATCAGAGAAACAAAGTGGATTTGTGGAAGAAACATCTTCCGACCGAAAATTGCCACTGTAATCTAGAGAAAAGCTGCAGTTATTCAGATAGAGAACTCAACTCGGTGAAATAGCCCTTCACATTTTTTGAAACCTGTGCCAGACTCAACATCAAGGAACTCTTTCATTGTGTTCTGCTTTCTTGAATGATGCTAGGTGACTCTCTATTTAACCTTAAGAAGGCCACTCCGACCCACGATTGATCTATTGCTCATCTTTAGTTGGAAAGCAATCTGGAGAATACTTGTTAATTTTGAACTGTCCCACCAAAAATCTTAGAGGATAAATATCTAATAGTAGTAGTATAGAAACTTCATCTTTGTACAATTTTGATGAATCAGTTCTAACTCAATTTGTGTTCTTACGAGTTCTGCTCCAGTTAAAGTAATGTTATGGATCAATCATGTTTTCGACATGCGTGTAAGATTAGATAAAGTATGATGAATAGAACTAGGAACAGATACATTTAGTCATTGGTAGGAATTAGTGCTAAGATGTAGTATTCTAATCTGGAATAGATGGTAGTGGTAGTAGTTATCAAGGGTCTTTGGAAATTTTGGATCAGTTGTTTTAAAGCTAATTTATGCTCCTTTGAATTACTAAACGGTGACAAACCTTACCATCAAATCAATAAAGTGACTTGAGGCGACACATTTTAATGTGAAAGTAACTCGCCAAAATTTTTAAGAGGTGATCAGCACTGTAGCGCGAGTCATTGAGAAACTTTTTGTGTGTTAACATTCTCAGTTAGTCAGTTTTATGCTAATCAGTGTTTTTCGAGTCTTGTCCCGACCCATAATGGACCAATCACAGTCAGAATGCTTTTCTAAGGTTATGGTTAAATATTGCAGTTTGGGTGTAGTGATAAGATATTGTGTTCTAACCTTGTAAGATCAGGATTAGACAGTCAGAATATTTGTAGTTTTGGAACTAGTCATGTTTTAACGTTTTCAGAGATTTGCTTTCAAGTTAATTTGTGCTCTCTCGAATCACCAAACCATGACGAACTTGAGGAACATATTACCATCCAATTACTTTGTGAGTTGAGGGAGCACATATTAATGTTGCAGCAGATAAACAAAAGTGACTGAATGACGAAAAGTCCCCTGTAGTAGCCTAAACAGAACTTTTCATCTATAAACGATTTCAGTTAGTCAGTTTTTAATTTAATTATGTTCCCTCAAATTGGTAGAATGCAACACACTTCGAAAACAGATCGCTGTCGGATTAGCACAACACCGATAACTCTCTAGAGATGATGCTGTAGCCAGAGTAATTAAAAGGTGAACTGAACTCCGTGAAAGAGCCCTTAAATATTTTTTAAACTTAGTGCCAGAATTTAGACCAGGAGACTCTTTCACCATGTTCTTTTCTCCAGAAAAATGTTAACCAAATCTGTGTAACACCTAGCAAGAGCATTGTTACCATAAGTTAGATGTCGTACTTGTAAAATCTTATTCAGTGAATCGAGATAGAGGTAAGCACTTGGAGCAATCCCAGAACTTGATAAAACTTTAAGTATGTGTTGAAAAAACTGCCCTCAGATAATTTAAACAAATTTCTTAATATTCGTACGGAAAACCTACACAGCGATCAATTTTTCTGACGTATCCACAAGGAGAATTCAATGGGTTGAAGGATGCCTGTGATCGAGTATTTCATTTATTCTGGATGAATTATTATAGTAGTAATTGGTATATAGTAATCAAAGGAGAAAAATAAAATCTCTTAACACAAGCACTTCAGTTGTAGTCTCATACTTCTCCTACCTGTAAATATGTGTACAATTTTGCTAAATCAAGCGATCAAATTAGCATATCCATATTACCCCTCAGTGACATGAATTTGCCATTTTTAGTTGTAATTGCTCATCTGCACTTCAAAGCAATTAATTATTCAAATAGCTCGAAATAACTTGTTCAAGGGCTTTGCAGAGTTTTGGAATTGCATAATTTTTCAAACCCATTGCTGTAATTTTTTTTTTTTTTATTCTTCCCTTTTTTCTTACTCGAAAGTTCAGTAGGTTTTCCACTATACTTGAGTTGAACATTTTGATGTAGGACATGTCATTTAGAATGTCTGAAAAATGCATTGTTAAAGCACAATTGGAAAGAGGATTCCTAAGGATGAGTCTTTTCCATGTTCAATGCCTCATTTCCTCATACGTACAGTGAAGAGGTGCATTCCGATTCCGCTAGCTGAAATTAGTTTCCTCTACCGTACTTGTTTACATAGAGTTTTGCATCAATTTCTATTCTCTTGTTTATTTTATCGTTAGATGATGTTAATTTTATTGTTAGGTATAAGTGTTGGCATGCCTGCTTTAGCTGTAAGAATTTCTCTTAAACTTGTTGGTTAGCGAGTAAGGGTTTTAATTAAGTTGCTTCTGAATATCCAAAAATTATCTTTTAATAATTGAATGATGATCATGATATTTGATATATGACTTTTTAATAATGTAAATTTATTTTTTATCGATAATTCAAAATTGTTCGAATTGAAAACAATTTTGCACCTCTCAGCCTTGTTCCGACTTCAAAGATCAACAACCTCAAGTGTACCTTTAATGGTATATGTTTGTATAGTTTCAGTAGTTGTGCTAGTATCACAAAGTAGTATGTTCTTTTTTTATGATTTTCCCTTTTTTTAATAAAGTTTGTTATAAGTTCAACTCTTTTTTTTGTTGCCAATTATTCCTCGCTTTTTTCAATTTTCCTCACAAATACTCGGTAATTTTTTTATACATTCATACTTAAAATACTCAGCCAATGATTTAAGGGTTGAATGATTAAGGCTGAAAGTAGAAGAGAATTTTTGAAATTTTGAGTTTAAATTTTGGAAGATCAGGATTACAAAATTTATGATCCAGGTAGATGTGATGAAAAGTTTAATCAGACTTAGATACTTCAACAGAAACGCATCAAGTCTTGTTTTGGAAAGAATTAAGTCGGGAGTAGTTTCAAATTCAACATGTCGTAAACAATAACAATAATAATCTCTTTATTTATTGTTTCAACATTAATAGAAACATCGAATAATGTCAAATTTATTCAATTAAATAGTAATTAGAATCAGCTAAGTACATTACAAATTGAAATCAATTTTACGGAATTAAACCAAATTTTAATAAATTGATTCAAGCATAATCAAGAGTAATTTCAGTGGATCTTCCTATCAAAACAAACCTGAAGATGATCGAATGAGAGTCGTTTTTCTCCACTGAAACTAGTACTAGACATCTTGAAATGGCATTTTCTGTTGTCAGTTTGGAACTCTCAACCGTAGGTGTCCTTAACTGTATTTGTCATAGGCCTTTGAGAGCTGCCTCAACTGGCACTTTCTTTCGCCGAAGGTATTGAAAAGTCAATGGCTTGTAACATGATCTTGGTCTTCAAATAATGAATTCAAACGTTTCCCAAGGCTGAAAATCTTTTTTCGACCATTGTAGGCCATCATTGCAGGTTTTCCATCTTTCTGAGAGAGGAATGAGAATAACATTCTCTCAGTTAACTGTATACAGATTAAAATTGCTCCACACAGGTAATGACTTTTTTTTCCTAATTCCAGAGAATCTTGCAGTGACAGTTAATTTTTTGGTCTCTTCAACTGGAGGGCTATGAAGTGTAGGTGATTATACAGGGTCTTCAAAAAGTTCAGCTCCCCCCCTGTAACTTTTGAACGGTTGCACCTAGCGAAATGAAATTTTTACAGTGTTCCTAGGTCAATAGGAACTACGTTTGGGCATACTCAAAATTTGAGGGCGGCGCCCCCGGGCTGCTGGGCGGACCCCAACTCAAAATTTTCAAATAGCAACCCCCATTTTTTATGGCATTTTCAGAAAGAGGATAAAAAAAGAAAATTTTTGAGCTATTGTGAAGATCTCTACAATTTTTTTTCGCCGAGATATTCGCGATCAAAGTTTAAAATAGGTCTATTTCCAAAAAATCGTGTGCGCCGACCGAAAAATCCTAGGCAACCAAACTTGTGCTTCAAATGTTCAGAATTACACGCACTTTCAAGAAAAATTGGAAATTTNTGCCTAGGATTTTTCGGTCGGCGCACACGATTTTTTGGAAATAGGCCTATTTTAAACTTTGATCGCGAATATCTCGGCGAAAAAAAATCGTAGAGATCTTCACAATAGCTCAAAAATTTTCTTTTTTATCCTCTGTCTGAAAATGCCATAAAAAATGGGGGTTGCTATTTGAAAATTTTGAGTTGGGGTCCGCCCAGCAGCCCGGGGGCGCCGCCCCCAAATTTTGAGTATGCCCAAAAGTAGTTCCTATTGACCTAGGAACACTGTAAAAATTTCATTTCGCTAGGTGCAACCGTTCAAAAGTTACAGGGGGGGAGCTGAACTTTTTGAAGACCCTGTAGAGACTCTTCCTGATATTAATTAGTTTCACCTCGACAGATTTTTCATCATCTCCAACCCCCCTCTTTCTTTCCCAGTGTAATGCAAACCTGGTGTCGTTGTCTTTTAAAATACTTGGAAAACTCTTGGCTAGGGCTCCCTTCGGATTTGCATTTTGTTTCCTTTCCGATTTGGATTTTGCCTTGCATCCCCCCCTCTCCCCACCATAAAATCAGCCTTGGTATTGGCCAATACCATCGAACTGGATGCTCTAGGCTCCAAGGCCTAGGGGCTCTGATTGGTCGGCGCGACGGTGCAATTTCTGCTCATCGACGGATATTACATTTCGGTACAAAAATATTAGCAAAATACTATTCTTCCTTTTCTGAATTTTTCACATCAATGTACTGTGCCCCGCTTTCAGCTGAGACTGTAGGTTGAAAATGTGCGAAAAATTAATTGACCTCTCACTTGATGGCGGGAAAAAATGCAATCCGCCAGCCAATCAGGGATGTCTCTGATCCCCTGTTCCAGGGAGAGACCGACCACAACACCCTTCTCAGACCGTGACTCAAGTTCTCCCTGGTTCTCCTCCTTGGTTTGATGTTTATGATAGATGACGTCACAGCGAATCAGCGAATCCCTTCCAATCCTCCATTTGATGTTGATCATGTATTTATCATGGCATTTATCTGTCGGTAAAAGTTAAAACTTTGGTTTTATGTGACCGATGAGCAGTTAGTTATCTTAGTTACGAATGACTACGATCCCCTTTAGTGATATCAATTTTTCGTGAGTTCAGTGAAAGTTTTCATCGTGTAAGTGGTAAGTATGTCAATTTTCTTCAGTTTCCTCTCCAGCCTTTCTCTCTTCTCTCATCAGCAAGTTCCAAGATGAATCTCGTTGGTGAACCGGAGATCATTAATCCAGTCAAATATTTACAAACAAAACCCTTTTTTTCCCCGAGAAGAACTATGGCTCAGTAGATTCATAGCTGTAAGTAATCCAGACAAGATACAGTCTGATACAGATTTCTTTCCAGAAAACGATAGCCTCTCGGATGAGATTAAGTTAGTTTGTTACTTGTGCTGATAGAAGCCATGCTCGCTGCTACTGAGTTGTAAACTTGATGTGGGTGAGATCTAGCACCTTAGTATTGACTCTTTGATAACTTTCATCATTATTTAATACGTAAGTGTAAGTATTCTCAGGGCCCGCCCAGGGAAGGAAAGTGCTGTGGTGTGATCAGTAGTCCTAGGGAACAGGTGCTGAACCCCTCACCGTCCTGTACAGCACTTTTTGAGATGTATTTCTTTCAGTTTCTTGGAAAATCGTGACTTAATCCTGATGAACAAGTTGAATCTTTTAGTATTATTTTTCAGTCGACACTGTAGACTTCGACAGTCTGCTCCTATATCAGCTGTCGCTAGAGAGGTTTGATGAGGAGCAAACTCATTGTCTATTGAGACCAAAGTGAAATTTTATTTAGGTTCGCACTCATTGATGATGCTATCTGAATGTATGTAATGATCTGCTGAGTGGTGCTCGGAGATCAACCTTTCCTTAACTATCATTGTCCTCTCAGGGCAAAAATTGAAACACAAGACCTATGAAAATGAAGTATATGTTAGTGAACAATTTAGTCCGAATTTATCATATAGGCTATCCAATTGGGGATGTCGCGTTCGACGCACCCGCGGAGCTGAGTCATGTGTAGGCTGCCCCCTTCTGGGGCCGCATAAGATCGGATGCCTCGAGAGCTGAGCGAGACGTAGCCGGTCTGCCCTCCCTGCCCTCTAGTCCGCGGCTCCAGAGCCCTGCCGAGGGGTTGCCGCAGAGTTTGGCGCATGCCGGGCCTAGGCTCTCCTCCTACACCCTTGACGCCGGGTACATTGATGTCTTTGGCAGATCGGTCCCGGGGGATGGGGACCCTCCTCCAAGTGGGGCGCCGGCTTCCCTACATAACCGGGTTTTCTCATCTCACAGCGGTCGGGTTGGTTAGGGGTCGCTTCGCTGGCTCTTCACCAGCTGATGGCCGTTGCCGTCCCGGTATTTGATGGACCCCTTTCATGGGGAGCGTTTCGGCGACCCTCATGATGGGGACACTGTGGCGACTTTTTTCCTTCATCCAATAAAAAAAAAAAAATCTATTACATACACACACTGCTATGCTATCGCTACTGTGTCACTTCTGCAACACACTACCTTACATAATTACATTCAGATGAAAATTATGGAATAGATGCTTTGATCGGCTAAGAACAGGTACACAAAGAGCATGGTGTCCATCTTACCTGGAACGGAATTATTTTCTGTCTATCCATGTTTTTTACTAGAGCTTAATCCACTTAATAGTACCCGATAACCATTCAAAAACATTCTTTTCTTTAGTGGCAGGGAAAGAGGCAGAAAATTGAGGTTGTCTCCTGTCGCTTGTCGTTACAATGTTTTTAACTAACCCCTGAGAAGGAGGTATAAATTATCAATTGGACTACATTTTGCAATTTGGAACCATAAACTCTAGCCCGGTCTAAAAGCAACGTATGTGCCATTAGTTTCCCTATGCAAATAAGTGTTTTTCCAGAAGAGCCAGAATTCATAGTTCCAAATTGAGAAATGCAGTCCAATTAGACTCCAATGATCTCCAAGTGAGACCCCTGAAAAAGTCGGATTTCACAACATGATAACAACTATTCACTATAATTAAAAAATAATTATATTTGATTGCAAAAATTCATTTGATAGGTCTCTAGCATTTTAAATTCTCTCAGTTTTTATTACTTGTCATGATTTAGTCATCCTCTATTCCCTTTACACAGATGTTAACATTTGATGATGAAAAGCTCTTTCATCTTTGCTCGCATATTCTTTCGCAGGAGAGAAAATGACGTGAAGCAGGGCTCTCATGGCTGCTCGAGGCTCCTTGGGAGGCTGAAAATGTTATCTTCAACCAAATATTACTTTAACCTTTGATAATAAGAATGGTAAAATGCACATCACTCGTGTGATGGACATAAGGGTGGTGAAACTACATAAATCAAGTTGCCATTGCCTTTTCTTCTGAAATAACTAAAGATTTAAATTGTTTACAGAGAATAGTGCCAAAAATTTGTGTGTGAATCTTTAAGAAAAATCTTGAACAGGCAAAGAAAAATCATGCAAAATTTTAGGCTTTGATGATGATTGGTGAGGAGTTGCAGATATTTCCTTAATGCCAACTGCTCGATGCTGCTGCAATTGAACTGTTTTGTCTTGTGTTCATATTTCTGACTTGTCTTAGGGCCTTATGTGAAATTTTATGGCAAAATGCTCCATTTTACGATAAAATTTGAGATTAGCCCCTCTCTTAACATATTGAGCCACAAAAAAAAGGTTGTCTTTTTTTTTTTAATTATCTCACAATGCAAGATTTACCGCAAGTTTGCTAGGATCTAGAGATCAGGCATTTTCTGCACCCCTCTGTCAGGAGTCCTCTTTAACAATAAAATTATGAAGAAAAGCAACATCTCAAACAGAAGTATGTTTTTTCATGATTTTAGAACTGATATGCTAATCATTGAATGGAAAGATTTTGCCATCCAATGATTTTGCCTGTGTATTTTCTGCAATCATAGATGATTTTTGATGAAAAGTTACAAATATTGTTGTTATTTTGTCTACAGGTCTTGCAAGCTATCAGATGTCTTTACTGTGGAAGTAAAAAAATTTCCTTCCATTTGGATTTACTTCATTGGCTTCAGAATGAAAACCAAAACTTGATTCATTTTGAAAATTTGTCATTTCTGTCACAGAAAGATAGTCAGGACTCATATTTTTCTTCAGCTACTCTGAATGAATTAAGATGAATAAAAAGTAAGTGGCAACTGTGAAAGATCTAGTTTCAAGCTGTTAAATATCAGCCATTCAACCTATTTCAGTCGATTTATATCCTTCAAGCACTCAGATGAACTTTATTCTAAGGTACTAATGCTGCCCCAGGGCTCTTAAAATTTACCCAAGTACAAAGGATCGCCATACGCAAAAATCTTTGACAATCAGTAGAAGCTTTCAATGTCCATCAAATTATACTATTTTAATTCCTAGCTCACTGTTGGAGCATCAGTCACTGCTGAAAAGAACTACTGATCTGAGGTTCTGCAAAAATTTCCAAAACATGAACCATTTCTCATGTGTTGGCACTTTTCCCCCTCGGCAAAAGTTTTGATATGCCTCCCAGAAAATTTTCCATTGACTACAATTTTCAGATCTGATCAGCACGAAAGAAAGTCTTCACCTCCAAAAATTCCCTTGCCCCAACCAGCAGATTTTGGAATATGCTATCTTTTGCACTGGCGAATTTGACTCAATTTTACAATTAGGAATTACAATTTCTGGTTCAGCTTAGAAACAACGTATGTACCTTAAGTTTCCCCACGCACACAAGTGTTTTTACACAGTTCCTAATTGCTTAATGTACAGTGGGCGCCGCTTATTGTGGTCAACTTGGGCCGGGCCACTTTGATCACATTAAACGGCTGATTATAAAAAGCGAAAAAAAAAAAGTGAAGTTACTCACGATGATTTTGTCCCGACTGTTGACCGTCCCTTGTTCAGCACGCCTTCGTTTTCTCTTAAGAACACCCGCACACTCACGCACTAAATTTAAAAGCCGTAATAATTTTTTTAAAAGCCGTAAAAATTAAAAAGTACATAGTAAAAAGATAAAAACTCAATGTTTTAAAACAATCATTTAAAGAAAGAGTCAATAGTAGCTTGTTTTGTATTGTCGTGGTTAAGTGTGCCGTGGTTAAGTCTCTTCGACGTTTCCTTGAGTCCGCCTCCATAGCTTCAGTCAAAAAATAAAACTTTAAAAACGGCAATAAAACTTTAAAATGGGGAAACACTGAACTGTACGGACGCGATGCGAGTCTAATAACCGCGCGGAAGGCACTGATTAGGTGTGTCTGTCAACAAAAATAAGCTCTCACACCAGGTAAGTGCTGATAAGGCTCCGGATTCCCGATCACAATATGCGGCCGGCGAACACAATACGCGGCGGATTTCGTATGGAATTGGATGTTGCCGGTCCGTTCCGCGAGAAATGATTCCATTATGCGGCCGATTCTATTAACCACGTTTCTAATAAGCGGCGCCCACTGTAGTCCAATTTATACAAGGTTTCTCAGGGTTTAACTGCCAGACACGGAAGTGTGTTTCATGGTTCAAAATAAAATCGCCNCCCCCCCCCCCCCCCCCCCCATGAAGTTTTTTCTAAAAGTGCCCCTGGTATAAGCAACAAGCTGTTCGATTTTCTAAAAGGGGTCATGTATCTATATTTTTATCAATTTACCAACCCACTCAATGTTTTATCTGCTTTCAGATTATTTTCTGCCATGTCGAGGCGGCGAATATCATCACCAGAAATGGTGCAGCATCTGTGGGATGCAGTGAAAGTGATTCGCTGCCAGAGACAGATACCAAACATTGACCGAATAACTCGTTATATGGTCAGAGTTCACAATACATCTGAAGGTACGAGAAAAAATGTACTATAAATCTTATCAAGCCAAATAGTGACTTTTGTAAGGTAAAAATTAGGAAAAACCTCAAACTGAGAGATTTGTAGAGGAGAAAAATGTCAAGGAAACATTAAGACTCATAGAAGTGAGCAAATAAGCTGGACATTGACATTGCAAATTCAGGAATACATCTACATTTATAATAATGAAAAATAATAAGCTACTCTGAAACCCTAGCACTTGATCTTCTGAGTTTTTTTCTTATGTGTTCAGTTCATCGGAAGATGGACCTGGATGGATTTTCTCTACAGATTTCAATTATCGGCGGATGAAATTTCTTGCAGTAAATCTCCTCTGTATGGAAACAAAAACAGAAATCTGTCTGAGATTTCCGTTGGGATTAATATTTCCCCATTATTTTTTTAATTATTTTTTATGGAATATTTCTCACACATAAAGGAAATGCCTTACAAGTTTTCATTTAATTGTGTTGATCAAGGCTTCTCTCTTTTCTTTTAACAAAATATACCTTTTTTTTTCTTTTAGTAAAGCAGTGTAATTAAGTATATGTGCTTGTATGTTTGTAACTTAAAGCTAAAAATGTGGATTGGGGTATTTTCATCTGTATTTCTAGCTCAAACGAAATGGTAAACAGGTTTAAGAAGGGTATTTCAGTTTCATCCATTGTGTAAAGAATTTTAAACTTCCCAGAAATAGAAGAAATTGAGCCTCTAGTTTCCTCAAAATAATTTTCTCCTCCGATCAAATGTTTTGTCTAGAATCAAGGAACATATATCAGTTCAAAATGTCATCTCTCCTCTTTTTTTTTAATCCAATTTTCCTGTTTCTCTCTTTGCTGTAGATGAAGTAGCAAGGCAGTTGAACTACTGCGTACGTGATAATCTGTTAGAAATAACTAAAAAAGTGACAAGCAAAGGTGCTAACGTTGGTCTGGAGCAAGAAGGTTATAACATACCTAGCATTAAGGTAATGTTTAAACACTCAATCACTCTTTAAAGTCTTGTTTGGAACCTTAATATGTTCACTAGAGTGGAGCCATTTCGACTTTTTCAGGAATTCTTTTGACGGGTAGTGAAAAAAAGGTGGGAAATGGGCTGGATTCAATGTAGAAAAATTTTCAGGCCGAAATTCCGATTTCTTGCTGGCGCGCCCAAGCCTAAAAGGCCTAAATTTTGAAATCGGACGTTTGAGGCTTGATGTTTATGGTTTCCCATCGGAATTATCGAGTTGCGACGCTTTAGGGCGATAATTTCGTCCGTTTGACCGTATCTATGACTGAATATCGAGAATCTGCCATTTGTATGCGCGTGAATCGACGCGAGAGCGAGCGCGCCCGGGAGACGACGCTGCCCCTGCCCCGCGCGTCGCCGCTACCACCTGCCACTGTCGTGTTGCATGCTGCATCTCGCAGTCTTTTATTATATTTAATGGCGCCACTCAATACGCAAATGTACCTAAAACGATTGTTGCTTTAATGATCCTTGTTAGATTTTGCTTTGAAAAAATGTCAAGTTCATTGACAATTTTAACCTAGGTAAACAGAAATTATCTGGGTCTGTACTGCTTTTTCGTGTCAAAAACCGGCATCTGAAGCCTTGACTCCATCTCAGCCCTCATATAGCCGTCGCGACTGTTGGCAGAGAAGCATTTTCTCGATGCTTCGGTGACGAGTTGGACGGTGCGCTCCACACTTTGCGTTTGACACGGTATGTGCTTGAAATCAATGTTTAAAGGAATGCCAGTTCGAACGTATTCTATAAGTTCTTCAGTTGAGGTGAACTGGAGCATGGGTGGTTCGGTGATCTCGCATCCATTCAGGTCCACTAGTTCTTGGTATGTCGTTGCTTCAAAGTTAATGGGCAGGACTTTTGTAAAATTTTTCTTTCAGACATTTTTCTTTCAGTTTTTTGATTGATCAAAAATTCCCTCTCTTTCGGGGAAACTTTAAATTTTGATACTCTCTTTCATCACCTCTCAATGCTCCTTCTTTTTACGTTTTGAAGGCGTGCAAAGATGCGCGGCGCCGCCGTCTCCCGGGCACGCTCGCTCTCGCGTCAACTTACGCGCATACAAATGGCAGATTCTCGATTTTCAGTCATAGATACGGTCAAACGGAGGAAATTATCGCCCTAGAGGGCCGCAACTCCTAACCATACACATCAAGCCTCAAATGTCCAATTTCAAAATTTATGCCTTTTAGGCTTAGGCGCGCCAGCAAGAAATCGGAATTTCGGCCTGAAATTTTTTCTACATTGAATTCAGCCCATTTCCCTTCTTTTTTTCACTACCCTTCAAAAGAATTCCTATAAAAGTCGAAATCGCTCCACCCTAATGTTCACTGCCCTGCTGGTCAAAGTGACCTTTTTTGTTCTGGTAACACCAATCTGATCGACTGGTTCACTTTGCAGTCAACTTGTGAACTACTGATGGGCATGATACAGTGCACAATCAAGGACCACATCTCAAGAATTCATTCGTGATGGTTGCCAAACCACAGCTTCGAATTTTTTCCATGAACTTGAAGTGGTGAAACGTTGGATTAATTTAATATTCCAATAACATAGAGACAAGGAAATACTTGATCTTATTTTTTTTTTTTTTTTTTTTTTTTTTTTTTTTTTTTTTTTTTTTATGGAAAACCTTGCTCACCTAAATTTTTTTTCCTCTGCAGGCAGAAAAAGATGGTCACGATTGGTATTGTCTAGAATGCCACAGTGGAGGTGATGTCATAAGTTGCAACAATTGCCACAGGGTATATCATCTCTCGTGCATCCTCAAGGATGATCTTCCAGACGATGATGTGAAACATAAATTTGTCTGTACTGTCTGCAAAAAAATTCAGACCGCGACTGAAGGACCCCAAAAAATCAAGAAAAGCACACTCAACCGACTTCTGCGATACACTTGCCTCCATCTGAAAGAGAAGGTAAACTTTTAATTTCATCAAATTAGGACATTCAATTCCTTCTGTTTTACTTTAACGAAAAGTGATACTTTTCTTGATTCTTGAAGTTTCACACATTAATGATTGGTTTTAAATGAGATTACCAGACTTTTCAAGAATTAAAGTACCCAAACCCCTATAATCTCATAAAACTTTCCCACAAAATATGTTGAGTGTTCAATGTTCTGCTTTTGTCTGTGAGTGAGAAATCAGCAATTTGAACAGCAATTGCTACTAGAATCATTAAATTATATCCCTCATATGAAAAATTTTAAAAATTCAAAATCTATGAGGGTCCAAGTAGCCTTTGCAAAGAAACCTAAAGATTCGGGAAATGACTAGAGTTTGGAGTTTGATTTCATGATCTTTTTCATATTGGTGCCTCTGGAATTTTCAACTAAATAAACTCTACCATAAGAGATTTTGTTGCATCGTAAACAAGTAGAAATTAGTTTAATGCCAAATCTGTTTTATCAGGTTTTGGTTTTTGTTAAGCAGTCAGTTCAAACTTTGAAACATAAAATATGATAATTCCTTACTTGCAAGTTTTATCTGTAAATATTGAATGTGTACATCATATTCTATATGAAATCTTGACAAGCAAACATTTATTTTGATGCATCATTTCGCACCTTATTTGTCAGTCTATTCTGCGTCAAGTTCTTTTGAGAAAATACTTCATTTAAAATTGAGGAGAAAATTGGCGCATTGAATAAACAATCTAAGCAAAAATATTTTAGGATTTCGCCATGATGTGTAGCATAGTCTAAGGACATAAATTTGTCAATTCCACCTACTATGGAGTGTTAAACAGCGCTATTAACTTCTTACTAACAAGGAGGAATGCGGTGTGACACAAGGAACCTGTTCTTTAGTTGGCTGGCAGGATTCTTTATGGACGTAATGTTTGGTAGCTAGCAGAAGCTTTGGTAGCTAGTCATTCTCCAACAGTTTAGTGGTTGTAGTGCTAGCTCTATGATCGGGAGGTCCCGGCCTCGATTCCCGGCCAGGCGACTTGAGTTTGATGGTCTCAAATAATGGTTGCCTGGGACTGGTTGTAGGGACAAAGGGGGGATGGGACTTAAGGGCAAGGATTAGCCCTTGTAGGCTATATGAAGTAGTAAAGAAAAAAAAAAAAGAAGAAGTCTGGGTTACTCTCCTCATGTACCTTTTGAACACCAGATATCGGTACATATTGAAAACTTCTTAACTATCAGCCATAATTATCAAAATGTCATATTTGCCAATTCAGAAATGGTTGCATGCAGTTAGCCTGCGCGCGCCTACTAAAAAACTTGCAGACAGATGTCTTTTTTGTCAAAATCAAGATTAATTGATGGAACAAATGCTTTGTAGATTTTTTAACGTGACAAAACAGTCATATACCATGAAACCACCAACAATTTATGTCCATGCTTTACAAAATTTTACTTTGAAATTCCACACCGTAGATTCCCTCTTCTCCAATCATTTTATTTTTTCACTCATGTTTTCCTTAGTTGCCTGTCCCTATTACTGAACGCCAAATACTAACAAACCCAACTTATTCCTCATCGGATCGTGTAATATCTGTGAACCCCCTTCGCCGATCCAGTACAACAGAAGTTTCCAATAGTTCCAAGTGGGTGCTGGATGAAGACAACAAGTGGCGTATCGAGAGTCTGATTTACGTCCCGATGGATTTGCAAATGATGAAAAATAAAGCATCCAGAAAAGAATACAACTGCCAAGAAGAATTCAGAGCAGATGCACAAACCTTAGTCCACAATGTGGTTATTTATCATGGAGGTAAGTGACGTTTGTCTCGCACATAAAACTTTCATTGATAAATATCTGGGAGTATTGATCTTTCAAAGATAATTGCATAAATTTAAACTCACCCTTTGTGGGAGCCCCTGGGTTAATCTTGTTATTTTAATCATTTCCATCACAATTAATCATGTTACTTTCTGATTGACACCAAAGCAACTTTCATGGATGATAAAAAAAGTGTGGTCCTCTGCTAATCTCAGAATTATTTAAAAATGTAAGTATCCTTCAAGAGAATATAGCCTTGCTTATCAAAATGTAAAGATCATCTAAAAATTTAGTCGATTTGATTTTCTTCATTCATTTATTTTTTTGAAAAAGGCTCTAACGACACTCGGAAAATAACTTGTTCAACTGGAGTTTCATCTGTAAACCACAAAAATGTAATCTAATGAATGGATCTGTCGCAAAATTTTGCCAAAGTAAAAAGGAGAGCTGTTGCTGTTTGAAAATCGCTCTCAAGTGTCAATGATCGCACCAGGAAAGTCTGAAATTCATTCAGAACTTGACAAGCTGGGCATTCGAGGCTCATTGAGCTCCCTCCATCAAGGAGTCCAGACTTAATCTGATGAGTCATTCCAATTTCATAGCTCCACTTTAAACTGAAAATTGCCACTTTCAGATGCCACAACATCAGAAGCACCTCTAGCTATCAAACTTGGCAGAGAAAGTGAAAATATTTAATAAACGGCCTTCGGCGTGATTTTTTTTATTTATTTTTTTTTAAGTAAAAACCTGCAAACC